TTATTTGCTTTCAATATGTGACAAACTTAGCTCCACCCTGGGGACTGAACCTTGGACTAGGGGTCATGAATTATTCATAAATTTGGTAGAGGGCTAACTTAATAATCATCAAACACTTTGCCTGCCAGGTGTCCATGAGTAAATAAGATTTTCATAATTTATTTTCAATATACATTCATGACTAACTTAACCCCATCCTCATCACTGGGGCCTAAATGCCAGACCCAGGGGGCTTCAATTTTATAAATCTGGTAAAGGGTAAGTACACACTGTAATCATACAAACAGTATAATCCCTCATATATTACAACATTACAGATCACTTGTAATTTCATTCATGCTAATAATGATGTTGGTATCTAAGGCTAGATAATAGGAAATTTGATTTCTCTAAAACTGTAGTTATTTTTGTTCTTTTGTGGGGTTTAGCTTTCTAGCTTTTTGGCTGGTAGTTGTGCATCTCTGAGTCAATTCAGTGCTTGTACAGCTCATTATAATGAAGTGAATTAGTTAAGTGATCATGATTTAGCATGACATATAAAAGAGTGATGTTGAACATTTCATATTTGACAGTTGTTAAATGTTTTGAAAAGAAGGAACTCAATCGAGAGTGCGATCGTACTTACTGATCGCAAGACTTCAACAAGAGGCCCAAGGGCCTTAACGGTCACCTGAGTATAAAACAATCCATAGAGGATCCATAGAGTATAAATTGAAAGCTGCAAAAACAAACCCAGGTTATACAATATATATTAATTTTTTATCCAATCAAATGATGCGTTACAACCAACTTATATTAAAATGACTCATCATGGTTTTGTTGTTTTTGAGAAGATTTTTAAATGATCTTTCCTATATATTCCTAACTAAAACTTTGATCACCTGTTGTGCCACCTCCCTACCCCAGGGGGTCAAGATTTGAACAGATATGAATTAATATTACCCAAAGATGCTTCCATATAAATAAGACAAATCATGGCTTTGCTATTCTTGAGAAGAAGATTGTTAAAGATTTTTCATATGTATTCATGTGTAAATCTTTGATCGTCCATTGTGGCCCCACTCTATCCCCAGAGTCATGATTTGAACAAACTTGAATCTATACTATATCTGAGGATGCTTCCATGTAAATATAACCAATCATGGCTTTGCTGTTTTTGAGAAAAGAATTTTTTAAAGATTTTTCCTTTGATTCCAATGTAAAATTTTCATTGTCCATTGTGGCCCCACCCTACCCCCGGGGATCACGATTTAAACAAACTTGAATCTACACTACCTGAAGATGTTTCAACATAAGTTTCATCTTTCTTGGCCCAGTGGTTCTGGAGGAGAAGTTTTTTCCCAATGTATTCCCATGTAAATTTTGATCATTCATTATGGCCCCGCCCTTCCCCAGGGGGTCATGATTTGAACAAATTTGAATCTACACTACCTGAGGATGTTTGCACACAAGTTTCATCTTTCTTGGCCCAGTGGTTCTGGAGAAGAATATTTTTAAAGATTTTTCCTATGTATTCCTATGTTAAACTTTGATCGTCCATTGTGGCCCCATCCTACCCCCGGGGGTCATGATTTGAACAAACTTGAATCTACACTATCTGAGAATCTACACTATCTTTTTCCACATAAGTTTCATCTTTCTTGGCCCAGTGGTTCTTGAGAAGATGATTTTTTAAAAGATGCCATTAATTTTTCACTAATTTTTAATTATCTCCCCTTGGAAAAAGGCTTGGCCCTTCATTTGAACAAACTTGAATCACCATTACCCAAGGATACTTTGTGGCAAGTTTGGTTGAAATTGGCCCAGTAGTTCTTGAGAAGACGTCGAAAATGTGAAAAAGTTTACACACAACGCATACCCGCACGACGACGGACGAAAACAGATAGCAATAGGTCACCTGAGTGACTCAGGTGACCTGACAGAGTCTATATTTTGTAATGACCAATATCTGCTCCCAAAATTAAACTTTGATGTAGAAATCTATAATTATGTTCTAAACCGGGGGGGGGGGGGGGGGGGGGGGGGGGGGAATTGGCAAACTTGAAAGCATTACGTATTAGTCCCCTACCGGTGAAACCGGAGGGGACTATAGGTTTCCTCTGAGTCTGTCCGTCCGTCCGTCTGTCTGTCCCACTTGGTTTTCCACACTTTTTTCCTTAACGCTAGCTGACTTTTGGTACGTAAGTGTATCTTGATGAGTTACAGATCAAGTTTGCATTTCGTTCCACTTCACTGATTTTTGACGGAATTACGGCCTTTTAAATTTTTAAGGGTTTTCCGCAATTTTCTTCTAAACGCTTTCAGATATTGAGCTGATTTTTGGTATGTGACTTTACCTTGATTAGTTATAGATCAAGTTTGCATTTCGTCCCGCTTCATTGATTTTTAACGGAATTATGGCATTTTCAATTCTTAACGGGAACCAGATTACACTTGCCGGTAGGGGACTAGTATTGCTAATGCAATACTCTCAGAATGCTTGTTTTCATTAGCCATGATGCCATATGATAGATATGACGTCAAAAAGATGACATAAATTCATAAATTCAATGATTTTGAGAGGGAAAAGTGTATTTTACATCAAATTTTGATTAAAAGTCATGGAGTGCAAGTCTGCCCCAGCTCGATCTTTTGATACAATGTAGAATTATAATATCCATGAAATATGTGAATATTGTTCTGAAGCAAGTTTGTGCTAAGTAAATTTTTTGCTAAAAATTGACCAAATTTCATCCATTTTGTCCTCTTTCTTTAAAGTAATGAAAAATCCAAATACATGTAGTTTGTGATGTCACATAAACAAGAATTGCGGATAATTTACTTCCATACAATAATAATTTTTGTCAATGAAGATTTTTCATACAAATATGCAATTGTGTAAATTTCTGGAGATTTTCAAAATTTGACTTTGATGGGGGCAAAAATATGCTCTTATCGCATGTAGGTATTTGTGGTTTCAATTAATGTTAAACCCTATTCAGGGCTTTCAATAATTTTGAGGTGTAAAAGTGAATTTATCTGTTTGAAGAATCTTTTTAAGAATTATTTCCATTGGTTTATTTTGTTAATTATGAAATATAAAGTAGCGAATTCCAACATTGAAACAGTGAAAAATGCCTCCTGTCTACCTTTTTTGAAAGCCCTGCCTATGGATTGAGTTCTCAATAATGAGTACTTAATCAAAAACTTGACATAAATTCTTTGTTCAATTCAATGAAAAGTATAAGCAGAGGTCTCTGACCAGACTGTTGCTTTATGATGTGTACTTATGATGAAGATGTATCTTAGTAAAGTGTAAAAAGTCTAATCAGACCAAAACTGTAGAAGTAGCATTTTGAAAATATTTCAACCAAATTTCTATTTTTAGTAATCATAGCAACATACTTTGTTGAAATCAGAAACCGATAAATTCAATTATGTATATTAGTACAGCATACTTGTGTACCAAGTCTTATTGAAGTTTGACTAAATTAAACTTTAATAGGAGTAGTGTTCTGAGAGAAATTCGATGAAATTTCTATTTTTTAGTAAACATGGCAACATCATTTGTAGAAATCAAAAACTGATAAAAAGATTATGTGTCTTAGTATAGTCTACTTGTGCACCTGCAAACCTAATTATTAAAAATAGACCAAAAATATAGGTGGAGCATTTTGAAGAATGTCAAAAGAAATTTCCATTTTTAGTAACCATGGTAACACCATTTGTCAAATATCAAAAACTGATAAGCAGGATTATGTATTTTAGTAAAGTCTGTTTGTGTACAGTCTTACTGAAAATGGACCAAAACTGTAGGAGGAGCTGCATTTTAAAAGAATTTCACAGAAATTCTATTTGAATAACCATGGCAACACTGCTTGTCAAAATCAAAAACAGATACATAGAATTATATATCTTAATATAGTCTACATGTATACCAAGTCTTATTGAAATTAGACCAAAACTGTAGGAGAAGTGTTTTGTAAAATTGTTTACAGATGGACAGAAAGACTGACAACAGACACCTTACCAATGCATAAGCTCTTCTGGTCTCTGACTAGTAGAGCTAAAAAGTAAATTGTATTAAAAGTTTTGATCTAATCATTACAAAACATTGATTTTTCTTTTCTGGTGAACTAATAGAAATGCCTGTGGACTAAAAGTAAACTGGCACTAGTCTGACTGGACTAATGCCTAGTGTCGAACCCTGTTCTATAATTGTGAAAAACTCCTGGTTTTTTTTCACTGATGACAACTGACGCATACCCATACCCAGGGTGTCCAGGAGTTATAAAATTGATTTTAATGATTGCATTTATTTTAATGGTTTTGGTCCCATCCCTCAAGTCCCAGTAGGTATCTGAGTGACTCAGGTTTTCTACTCATTCAATATTTGTTCACTAACATGCTGGTGTAAATTACAATCTTAACATCCACTTATTTGTTATTTTTTTAAATAGAGAAGGTAATTTCATTCAATTCAGATTTACATATCATTATCAAATACATGCAAAATAACCTCATCACTTAAACCACTAAATAAAATTAAGTACTTAATACTTTCTGTTTTAGCTTCTTGCCTCTCACTTTGATCAAGTTGATAGGGAAGAAAGAGTTGTCAATGAAAATTGTCTAGATATATGCCAACATGCAAGAAATATAACAGATTTTGTGGATGGGGTATCATGTCATTGGCTTGTAAAATGCATGAAAAAATAAAAAGGGGCTCAAATTTTCTGTTATTGTAATTCTAAAGCAAAACAATTACATTCGTGGACCCATTCCCACCATCCCATAAACTGAACATCTTTGGTATCTTTTTCTTTTAAGTGCTTTTCCCCTTCTTCTTAAGTGCCATACAATCTGTATGTGATACAACACCAAACTCATTACTGTTTGCATACAACAGTTGATAGCCCCTGGAAAGCAGTAATTTACAGACACACAGCAGTTTTTTTTTTTCTTCTAGTATTAAGGTGATTAGCTACCTTGGGCTTGTTTAATGAGAACTAAGAACTTACCTTGTAAAAGCTTCTACTGGGATCTCAGGCTTGACTGTTTTGGCAAATCGGTTCAAACTGTAAGAGAAAGAATGAAAAAAATAGCACTGAATTCAATGCATCAACATTAAACAAAACTAAATCTTAATTAGGATTCTCTTTTTACAGAATTTACTTAAAATTTAACATTAAAACTACCATAAGTCAAGTAGCATAAAAGTTTTATAAATCTTCCAAAAATCTTGTCTGTAGCTAAATAACTGTTTATTGTCAGATGGCCATAAGTCACAGTAACTGTACCATACCTTAGGATGGTGACACAGGTGTACACAGATTGGGGTAACAGGTAAGAATGAATTCCTCCCACAGGTAAAAACAATAGAGCAGGTATCCCTCCCTACCTGTCCACCAATCAGAATCTGTGTACAGGCAATTAACAAGGAGCCCATAAAGTAGCTAGAGATGTTAATTAGTGGTACACAAAGTGAAGCTACCTGTAATTAACACACCTGTACAGTCTCCCTACAACATCACAGTGGAGCTACCTGTAATTAACTCCCCTCTGTACAGGGTCTACAACATCAAAGGGAAGGCCAGATGGGGTTACTGCCCTTGTGTACACATGGTGCACCACACACATATTGTTTTATCCAACCTCTTTTAACTAAGAGAGATATCAACTTAAAACACTATATATGGTATATATGTCTCTGCCTTTATGAAGGGAGAATCAACTTAAAGTTTTTAAATAAATTAAATAATATATGATGTTTCTTGTTTTCATCATTTTCTTTTCAGTATACTTGATAATTGAACAAATTGTTCTTTATAAAAAATCCAAAAAAAAAAAAAAAAAAAGCAAAAACAAAAGCAAAAAACAAAACAATCCTGATTTTATTAGCATCACCATCACCTGTTTGCATATATCTGTTAAATTAATTTCTAGAGCAATTGAGAGATTAGTGATGGTAAAGATAGATCTTATCATAGGTGTAAAATTCCACCTATTTCTGTTGTTAATCAAACATCAAAGACTTCTCTTTACTCCAGGGTATATTACAAAGACACGTTTCTTTTTATAAGGATCATAAATTTGGGTACAGAAAGTGGTTGTAATTCATAACTGACCTAATTTCTTTCACCATAATTTTAAGTAAAGAAAAGTTAGAAAGTTTTTACCATTTATTTCTTTATATATGACTAAAAATGCATGAAAATTTAAAAGATTTTCCTTCTTTCAAATTTTATCAAAAAGATTTACTTTGTTTTTAAATGACTAAAAAGCTTTTAAAATATAATTATGTAAAAGTTTGTGTTTTCTGTGTTTGTGTGCTTTTTTCTTTTTGTTATTTACAAATTTCCTGAATTTATTGGTTACTTTGAAGAACCATGTATAATCAGGAAACTGGACCCAAGCTGCTAACTCTGGTGTGTTTACAACACCTCCTTATTTCCTTGTGCTGTTTAGAGGCCAATTTCCCAGTATGTACCCTGATGTGATTCTAGTGATAGGTAAAAGTTGTCTACCTTACCAGATAGTTAATAGCCTTTGATGGTTAGACAAACCCTGGGTTAATTATTGTTTTTACAATGATCAGGGCACATGGTCACCTATATACAATGATAACTGATGTGTGAAAGACTAATTATCACATAAGATATTAAACAAGTCTCACCAAATGTCCCTCTCATTTTTTATTTATAGATAAAACTATCTGGTGGCAATAAATTCTGTGATCTTTTTTTTCTCTTTTGAAAACATGTTGAATCAAAGTTAATATTACGTAAAAATTGTGATGAGAAACTGAATTAACTATATGTAAGTAATTTAATGACAGAATAATTAAGGGTCAGTTAAAGCCGGTTAAAGTTTTATATAGAGGAGGAATTTTGGTCAGTAAATGAAATGTTATATTCTGTGAGGGTTTCTGATCAGTAACTGAAAGAATCAATGAGGGAATCCGGTAAAACTTGCCTCGGTTAATTTCTTCTAATATCTTGAATTCTACTGTGTGACTGTTCAAACTTTGCCTTGTCATACGTTCTTGTCTTTAAAATCTTTGTCTTGTGAATTTTCCCTTTTCCCCCTAAAACCCAACAGAATGAAATGATTTATCTGTGAATGAATCTAAAGTCACTGCTGCAGTGTGTAATACCTGACAATTATCACAGAGCACCTGCGGTCCCCAACAATCAATAACCCCATTCCTCTACTTGGTCTGACTTAGATAGACCTCTGTAATGCCAGGTGAAATCTCTTTAACAAACATTTATGGGTTGCATTCATTATCTACACAGCTGCACAGAGGCATATGGTACAACAACAGAACAATGACTTATCGGCATCATAAGATGTCACTGGTGGTTCAGAGTGTAATGGGATGCTGCTTGATTCAAACATATTTAGTAAAGTTGTCTAGTTGTTAAATACGAGGGGTTATCAAAAAGTTCGTGGACTGATGCGATAAAATTAATACTATGTAGTTGATGATTACAAAATTTGTAGGGAACATAAAACAACAAAAGTTTAAGAAGTGTTGAAAATTTCAGCTTGATATGTTGATAATTTGCCAAATTATCATTAAATAAAAAGAGCATTATACGATCACCCGGCGCTGTCGCCGTTTATTTTTATGACGTCCGACAACGTCATTATTTCTCCATGCCCGCTCCCTCTGCCTCAATACAGTTTTCATGATGAGATTCTCTTGAGTAAAGTAAAGACCTAAACCCGTCTTGTTTATATGACTTTACAATGTTATGAACACATGATTTCAATGCATTAATATTGTAAATATTAAATCTATACTTAGGAAAAGATCCTCGCTTGATTTGCCTGCATAATTTTCTTGCCGGTGTTCAATGTCAACCAATGATCAACGTCACTTTTCGACGTGTCTGACTTTGGACACCCTGACTACAAATCGACATTAACCGTGTGTCTCTTTTCTTGCTGAATCTGTCTTGGTATTTAAACACAAATACTCTGGATGTATTTTATTTCTCTTTAGCCTGTTTAAACATTTTCTAGGTCTATGTCAGGTTTTCCAGGGGCTGAAAATTTATAGAATGTTGTAAAATGACACCCTACCCCCTTTCGACGTCATTTTTAACCCCTATATTGTTTGGACATTCCCTATAAACTTTACGATAAAATTTCATAGAATATATTGAATCAGGTAAAAATTACAACTTTTACGGAAAAATTATGTCATATCACATGAGTGAATTAATGCGAATTTCGGATGACAAATGCTCATATTAGAAGAGTTTTTCTCAGTTACACTTAGGTAGAAAATACGTCATGTTCGAGGTTGCGCCGCCTTGACATACCATTGCTTACAAAAACATTAAAAATTTATTTAAAAAATAAAACTTATGATTTATGGTTTATTTTACGGATAGAAATGAAGATGCTTATTTAATGTTTAAAAATTCATTGATGTATCTTAAGCGGTTTTAATTTAATGACGCTAGTCCACGAACTTTTTGATAACCCCTCGTATATACATGTAGAGGAGAAAAAACAAAACTGTTTGTAGGAATGAAACACAAAGTAGAAAGGTGAAAAGGGGAGAGGATAACTTTTAATAGAAAGCAATCCCTATTGTATTGTGTTATCTGTTTTATTGAATTACTTTCTTTTTTTGTTCTCTCCCTTGATTATTCCAGAGTTACCAACCTTTACATAACTAGGTCACAGCTTGTACAACCCCACTGTGCCTTTATTCTGGGGAGTATGTCTGGGGGCTAAACCTATCATCTCCTTTCACTCTCTCCTTTAAACAGGGGCCCAGGATAATTTAAAACCTGGGCATTCAGTTAACACCCCCAGAACCAATCTGATTAAGCAACACAATAAGATTATACACCTGTAATCAGATAGGCCAGGGAAAACACAGACTTTGTATAAACTGAGTAGAAATGCAAACAATTTTTTTTGTTTTGATCTTTTAAGACTAAACTGCCCCCTAATATGTGGTTTTTGAGGGGACCTCCACACTTTTCACACCTTTACGGAATAAGATTTACATATCATAAAATCTACCTGCTTATCAATTTGAGCAACTGGCTGTCTGAGTAATTTCTATCAAAATTTGTTGTCTGTATTTACTTTACCTATTAAAACTAGTTAACAATTTGTCTAATTCTTTTTAATAGGTGTATATTTTTTATATAAATTACATTAATTTTAGTTGCTACTGATTGATTTTATTTTTTTTTACACCAAGTGAAATGTACACTTTGCAGCAGTATAGTTGTTAAAGAGAAAATTTGGAAATCAATAAATTTCATGACATTTCAAACTAGTGAATCAAATGAGGCATGAGCTATAACCACCCCCTGCATATAATTCTAAATACAATTAAGATAGGTAATTTGTTTCCAGCTTAGGTAGTGACATCATTATTAAATCAAGTGGAAAACTATTTACAAGGTCTTCACAATGCACAAGAAATAATTTCCCTGGGAAGACCTATGTGTTAATTCTATTCCTTGTGGTCTGGATTTTAGCTGGCTATTGTTACCATTGTTGTACAGTAATTCCTGCAGACTAGAAATTGTTGATTCTACTAAGCAGACAACAAAACAGACAAGGACAAGGAACTTCACCCTGTCTAACACCAAGATAATTTAATAATGAGTGCTTACAAGTCTTGAGGAAAACAACAGACTAGCTTCCGACACAATTAATGCGAGATAAATGACTTATGTAATTCTAAGTTCACTACTAATTCAATTCTTAAACAAAATGTAGAACTTTATTTTCTTAAAATTTTAATTTTAATTCAAAATCTTTCAACCTTCTTTCATATTTTGAATTAATCATACATGTGAAAAATCTTGATATCTCAAATTATTTCTTTGAAAATTGTGGAAAAGATAGCTTGAAAAAGTGAAAAACAAACAAAGGCCAAGATATGTTATCCAGTCAAATGGAAAAAGTTGCCAGTTTTTGATATCAGTATTTAAGTTCCTGGAGACTATGTATTGACCCAAACTCTGTTTTTAGCATGTGGTCATCTTGCAGTATGTCACAGTTTGCATAAATATTTTCCTATGGCAATAAACATTGGGTCATCTGGGTTAATGTGTTAAGTTTAAAGGAAATGTATATTTTTGAAACCTTCAAAATAACACTGTAACAAGTCAGGATGCTCCTAAAAATGCCAGGACTTCAAAGAATATTTATATATATATATATAAAAAAAATAACAGAGACCACATTTAGAAGCAATAAATTATAAATGTTAAACTAATGGATTTTAAATTACATTTTTGGACAATTAATATAAAAGACAAATTCAGAAAGTCAAAGTTCTAAAGTTGTCAGGGGAATGATGCCACTTAAATATACAAGTTCTGCAGGTGTTCCATTTTTAAATTTTTTTTTAGGCATGTGTACTTGTACACAATACTTTGATCCTCTCCATCAAAGACAAGCTTATTACATATTCAAACATGTGCACTTTTAAGTTCTACTAGTCACTAGTGCAATCAATTAACATCACATCAAGCTCTGTCAGACCACCTTGTCCTGGCTAATGGCCCCATTACCTTACATGTACATACTAATACCTACAGTAAGGTGTGAAGTATGGGGGGCAGGGAATTACCACACACCCAATAACAGTCACATCATGTTAGCACTGCAGTGATGTAATCTCCAGTTTCATCATGCTCATGTTATTTGCATATATATCTCTGACATCAATATTATGTCATAATCACAAGAATCAAATGAATTTTTTCTCTCTGACTTGATATAATTTTTATGCATCAGTCTATGACTAATAAAAATCAGACCCAATCTTAGTTCAAAATCAATGAAGTTAAAAATTTTCTTTTTTAGCTCTAATATCAAAATTTAATGATTTTTTTTTCCAAGCTAGCAGATTTTAGTAAAGTCTATGATTACTATTTTTTACCTTGCCAATGTCACAAGGTTTGATCAATCTATTTTCAGTCTCCAATATTGATTTATACCCTACATGTCTAGTAATTAATTCCTCCATTTCCTTCTTTTGTTTGGAGGACATTTTCTCTTTTGATAAATGAACTCTACATAGACTGCCCCTGTTGTAAATCTCTAAAATAATGTTGAACAAAACAGAACAATGTTCAAATCAATTAATAATTGCATCACCTATCAATTTTGATGGATTTTAGGATCAGATTTAGAACATGTCCATAAGTAGTGGACAGGGTATTGGTCAATTGTTCTTAGTCTTGAGGCTTGATTTTAACAAATGAAAATCTACCAATTAATGGGCCTCATGGCTATGATACTTAAGACAGAAAAAACAATTTATGGTCTTATAGTGCAAACTTTATGTGGTGTAAACCACTGCTTGGACACTAAAATCAATACATAATACACTGTTTGACAAGACTTATCTGTTTAGAAGGAAAACTCCCCGAGAATGAACATTGTTTTGAAATTTTGATTTTTTTTTTCATTTTTCCCCCCCAATCATTTCACTCATATTTAAAACTGATATCTTTTTATTTATTTCAGAAAGTTGCCACACTGACTTCAAATTATAATTATTGTTTGAAATGGACATCTGAGTATTCATCTTTTTTTTTCAAGAAAGTTGCAACATTACTTTCAAATTGTTATGATGTTGCAAAACTTTTATATTACCCAAGTCTCCTCTCAAACATTCCCCTTAAATTACTAATGCCCAAATTTATTCAAGAAATATAATACTCCATCATCGCATAGGAACTTGCCCCATTTCCTCTTGTCCTACACTGATAGTAGGACATGACAATAGATTGGTATGTGTTTACAGAAACTGTCTAGACCTACACAGAGTACTGTGTAATTATCTGACCATAATCAACCTAAGCTCCCAAAGATCAGCCATAGATTTATAGAACCTTCTCCCTGATCTTATAACTGTAGAAAGTATCTAGGATATAATGCATCTGCTTGGTATAAAGTTAAAATATCTAAAAGTTTGGTTCTTTTCTATTTCTTTATACAGTTTTGTAGGATAGTAAATTTTTAACACCTGACAAACAATACCCAGTAATGGTAATTTTTAACACCTGACAATAGACAGTCTCTATCAGAAGATAGACCTGCTAACTGGAGCAGTCTGAGAGAGATAACAACCCCCACAGTGTAACCACAGTATACAGACTTCAATGATTTAGATAATGTACTACATAGAGTTGTCAGTACTATCTTCTTCTTATTTTCTTATCAATTTTTTTTTTTTTGGAATTATTTTAAGTTAAGTTCAATTTCTAGCAATACTAAATATCAGTTAGTCAAACAAACCAAATAATTTTGTCCTTTATATAGAAACTGATTGTATGTCTTTGAATATTAACAACTCTATGTATCTGAATTTTCAGGGCCTGGAAAGAGATGTTTTAAAAATAAATTACCTCATCTCCAGTGTGGGAGAGTCCACGAGGGTAGGAGAATCCACAAAACACCCTGAAAATAAAGAAAAAAAATATTTCAAACACTCACACACACACACACAAAAGAACAACTAATCAAGTTCTTATTAACTTGATTACCGGTAAGCTAAAACATGGAAGTAGCTCTGACCTAAAACACATCAATCCAGCTTACCATGGTAAAGACTCCAGTCAAAATCCTCATTGTCACAAGAAAATAATATCTGCATTTTATTACTGTTTCTAGTGTACTCTGACAATCTATCGACTTCCAAACATGTGCTCCTACATTTACTGAATGATCTCCTATGTTGAATGATTTCTATCATCTTACACATGTTATATAACCAGAATGATTCCCATTGATAGTTCTGTAATCAGCCTGTACCTTACATAAATATTACCACAGACATAAGAAAAACCAACCCAAAACATAAATATACAGTACCCATCCCTCCTGTTGGACTTGTTCTGAGAGTGTCCCAGGGCCCATAACTCTGACTTCAAAGGGAAGCCACTAGTGGGCAGAAATAATATTGACCATGTACAAACAGGATCAACCCGAGTAACATCTTTTTATACAGTGTATATGGACAACAAAATGTCAAAACAATGTCTGATAAACAAGATAATTAAGGGGTTTTTTTTTTTGGAATTCCTGCAAATCAAGGGTGAATTTATTTATAAATATAAGATTTTTTTCTTTTATAATATTTTAATTTTAGTCATGCTAGTTATTTCATTACTTTCTTCTATGATATTTCAACTTACAATCCTATTTTAAACTGTTCACTTATTTTGAAAACAGTCATTGGGAAGACAAATTTAGTTGACACATTTTTTTCTAATTTGTTTCCCGACCTTTCTTAAAACAAGAAGATATACATACATTTTTCAAATAATTTATAAAATCAAAATCCATACATACCATTAAATTTCAATTCAAGAAAAAATAAAGGATCCATTTCATGACCAATCATCTTCCACACTTTTGAAGTCTCTAAATTTAGTTCTACTTAATTAAGTTTCAATGCTCAATCACACCTCCAGTGTATCTACACTTCTACAAGTGTTCCTTCTATGTCCTATGTAAAGTTCTCCTACTGTTTTAACACTTCAAGTGTCAGTTACCCCCAGAGAAAAAAACAACCCACACCCTTACTACCCGACGTTGGACTTAAAATGAAGTTCTCTGAGAGACCTCCAAGGCTAAATACTACAACTGACCAATGGCCATCTGCTGCTACAAGGTCAGTGATAGTAAAAACTCAATTGTCATTTCATCATCACAATAGGTTTGGACAGAACAGGTTTTTTTTATAGGAGTTACTCCACTTATCAGAATCTCCACACTGCTACAGGGCTCTAGATGACTTTGATAAGTTGTCATAGAACATATTGAAATATCAGATTTAAAAATCTTAATTGTTACATTGGATTTATAGGATTAGAGTAAGATATCACTTTTATGGCACATTAAGTACCTAAATACAATAGAAAATGTTCAGAAACATCAAATTTAAACACCTTCAGTGTAAATTTATGATGTCTTAATTGATGGTGCCAATGATTTCAAACTTCCTTCCAAATTTTACAGCACTGACAGAGAATTAAATGTCTTCCTCATTTGTCTTCTTATTCTTTTTTTAATGGTTTTTCACAATTTGTATTTTTTTTTTTTAATTTTATTTTTAAATATTAATTTTTGCATTAAAATTAATACTCAGAACAAAGATTTATACTGTTCATTGTAGAGCATAAATGAATTTTCCCAAAAACATATTATTTATTTACAAAATTAATGAAGTATTAATTCTATAATAATAAATGAATTTATCTGACTTTTTTTTTTAAGAAGAAGTTAAAAAAAAATTGATTTTGATACTAATGATGCAAAATGAATCCAAATTTAAAATGACCAGCATACATTTCAGTAAGTATTTGTTATCAAACTTTTATCCATGCCATTCAATAATCCTAACACTTAATTTTGTCACTTCAGTCAGTGACTAGGGAATCTGGATAGTATTAACATCAATTAACCCCTCCCCATTTCTCCCAGACACAGGAACACTTCATAAGAATAGACATTATAACATGTTATGTAAATACATAACCCATTATGAGAAAAACAATATAAAAGATTGTTTATTTCCTCTCTGTGTTCCAACTGTCAGTCACTCTCACACCTTACTAAGTGACCAGTACATTAAATCTGTCACCAGTCTTTATTTTTTGTCCTCTTGTCAGTCAAATGTTAACAGCAATTGAGCAGAGAGAGAGAGGAAGTACTCCTCAACAGCTATAGTGATGATCTACTGTCTCTATCAGATTATTCTAATGTACATTTACAAAAAGACCAAGGATATTTAGTTCTATCACTATACACTGCTCTTACAAAGGATTAGTGGGGACTGCACTGTCATGTGTGGCCAGCTTGATATGAAAACTGCTATCATGGTCAGACTTTCTTTTTCTTTATGAATGATTTATACACAAACTGTTAAATATTTCAGTCTATACTATCAAACCATAGTTTTCTCTCTGAACAAGTTACTTGAGATAGCTTCAGTACATCATTAAACCCTTCAGTACAGCTTTTACTCAAGCTAAATAAGTACATACATAAAGCACATATGGTAAATTTCACTGTATACAGTATTAAAAAGCATCTTAATCTGGGATATAAACAACAAAATGAGATTTTACAGAAATTAATGGATTTAATCTTGTGAATGGTTTGTTTCTGTTGACATTCACACACCCAAGCTAACACAGTAAGCTCACTGACAAACATGTCTATACAGGGGCCTGGTCATTAATCAAGGACGGTCCTAAAAAACACTAATCTGCCTAATGAAGAACTATAATACTGAATCTGTGCAAATAGTGTCACTGCTGAAATACATTTCATTTTTAATGCTTAAAATTGCTGAAAGCTCATTAGGTCTTCATAAGAAACATAATCCACTGCTATGGTCAACGTTCATATTCACTGCTCTTATTTTAGGTGTTCTCTTTAATTTTAACAAAGTAATCTTCCCAAGAAATTATCTATAAAATGAACATTATTCATGTATTTACTGAATATTTGACAGATGCTTAATTAGTGAACATTTGAAAAGTAACTAAGGGTTTGACATTGGACTAATTGACACCTGTATGGACTATAGAGCATGTTTATTGCTGAGTATTACATTCAATTTTAAAACATTAAATTTTTACTCACAGGAAATCATGTGGGTTTCTCTTGCTGTGTCACTGATTAAAATCAAAATTGAAATACAGGCTGCCCCAATTAAGTGCTTAAGACCTACCATTATGAGATCAAACAACATAATTAACCAATAAACTGCTCAGAATTAATTAGTAGGTTCAAAGAAAATATGTCTCTTTGACACAAAATACTGAACAGAGAATGGAACTGTGTAGTTTATTTGATTTTGAGATAGACCTGTTATCAATAGGTTGATGTTGTTCTAAAAAACCTTAATCTAGATAATCATATTCTTATCACAGATTTAGTTTGATTGCCTTAATAGTGAGGAGGAGGTGTATATACAACAATGAAAGTGTTAAAAAAAGCCTTCTTTACATAAAGATGTTCAATACTATCTTGTCCTATTGGATGGCTAGAAAAATCTTTTCATAATTATAACTTTGGTACCCCCCCTCCCCCCCCCCCCAAAAAAAATGAAAGGCAAAAACATAAATAATTTAACTGACACACATACAAATGTGAAAGCACACATCATTTCCAGAAAATTAGAAGTCTTAATATGCATTTAGCCTTGCAAATAGAACTCAGGGAAACTGAACAATATTTGTATCACATGCCTTTGCAAACATGACAAATGAGCATTTCTCAAACCTTATTCAAATTCATGCATGATACATAATAGACACCAAATGCATAATTTTCACATGAATTTTACAGAACTGCAAATAAAACGGAGGAGGGAAAACAAATCAATTTCAAATAATCTATGATTTATATGCAAAAATTGTCATTGTAAATTATTAATTACAAATACTTAAAATACCTGATTCTGAGGAACTGCCCTGCTCCTGATTGGCTGAACTACATGTTGGTGGTGTATCGACACTTGATAAAGATAACTTTCTCCTTGGGGTTCCTCTACAATTGAAATAATTCAGCAGGTCAGACAGCATACTTATTTCATCCTTCATTCTTGCAAGTCTTTTGCTACAAAATGCTTTATATAATATCTTAATTTGATCTATGGAATATCAGCTATGACTTCCTATATGTATGTATTAAACAATAACATTAATGTAACTTGTAAGTACTCTAGATGGCTTATGTTTATTCTTAGATGACATAATAGAGTAACAAAACATGCTGCCCTCATTTGCATATATGTCAATCAAACTAGGCCCTCCTGTAGTGGGGACTCAGACTTCAAGGTCCAATTAACATGCAACATGGACTATTTGACCACCTATTGTGTTGTAATTGATTTGTTAATAGGATAATTCCAAGAATACAGATTGGCATGTTTGTAAGAAAGTTTACATTTCTTTCATATAAAATAAACCAGCCAAATTGAGTTGATTTGATAGAAACTAACATTAAACTGGGGAAAAAAAATGAAGTACATGATGTCAAAATGGTAAGAAATCTTCCTAACTCAGATAAATAAGTGTAATCAATTTGTACATTTACTGAGGTTTAAGTTTTTTTATGCATACATGTCCTATCATTTAAGACTCAGACTAGATAGTGCAGGACCTGTCTAACTGGACAGTCTAGTTGGAAACACTCCTACATTGTGTGAACTGAACATGACTTTAATCATGGACATCTCATCACATGATGAGACATCTGCTTACTAAATTTGCCCAGGGTGTCTGCAAAAAACTATACTTATGGCAGTGAATCTGAAAATCCATTTCTCAAATTCATTATTGTTCATAACAAATTGTGTAAATTTGTATGATGATTTTTTTTAAAAATATTAAACTTTTAATACATTTGATGTTTACTTGTTATCTAACTATTATTTTGGATATAAACATACAAAAATTGTCTCACATCATCATGATAATAATATATTCAAGATTTTACATTTTCAGCATTATCCACAGGTGCTTGTTCCCAGAGTGTAAAATATACTTAATATAAAAATAAATATAATATAGTTATAAAATATATATATATAGTTATAAAAAAAATGTTTATATTGTCACTCTGGGAGGAATCCGCTGTGCTCCATTTTAAAACAATTTAGATTTTTTATGTATCCGTTGTCCGTTTCAAAAAAAAAGTGACTTGAGAACTGTCAATTCCTCTCTCAGGGAAGCAAAAGCAATACACATATTTTCAATCTACTGTAGAACACCCTGACTGTCTTCTCACCTCCATTACACTTACCTTCCAGTACTCAGTTCACTCAAGTTCAAAGCCAGATTTGACATAGGAGAATTCATCTTTACTTTTTCTCGTAAGAACAAATTCTGAATCGTGTTACTTGTGGCAATTGTTCTTAATGGTTGATGAAACTGGGGTGGTCTGTCATTGTTCCCAAGTTTCGACATTTTCCATACCCTGCATACATTTGAACAAAGAAAATCACAATGTCAGGGGACAACATAAAGAACGATAGGATATTCTTTGAAAAAAAACCTAGATACAGTTAATGTCAAGGTTCGCATGCAATTCTTACGCTACAGATAAGCCACAGGGTAAGTCGATTTGTTGTCACAGCCTCCAAGATACAATACACAACGCGACAAATCCCGAACTTGAGCACCCGCTTCCCTCACAACGGCTCCTCATGCGATTCAAATAAGCAAAGAACACAAAGTCCAGCCTGAGGCAAGTATTGCTACATAGCTAGCACCCCATGTTCAATTTCTCATAGAATTTGTTCATTAATATAAAAGATGTGTCTGGGCACATAAAGCGCCGCCGTAGTGTTTGAAAAACAAGACCAAATCGACCAATCGGAGCGATGGTTTTATTACGTGTGCAGACAGGAAGTTATTCCGTTGACAACAATTTTTGTGTATTCCCTACATTTAAACAGACAATTTTGCTTACATATCACACAGAGTAATTACAACAACCATCACTCCCACTCCATGCAGACTCTGTCGTATACCTCAATGAAATCTGCGCGAAATGACAAAAGGGTAAACAAAGGAGCAGGTTATATAAAAGATGTGTCCGCATAAAAACGGAAATGGAAATTCCCTCACCCAACTCATCGTTCTTTATTTTTCCAGTAATATTATGCGTAACACGGAAAAGCATGGTCGGATTTCGTGAAACAGAGCCAAAATCACCAAAATTATACGTTCCTGGAGGGTCAAGGTTCACTCGTAGATCCCCAGAATGGGGGTGGGGGGGGGGGCTAAGGCAACATTCAAAAAATCTTTCTCAAGTTTGTGGATTTCTCAGGTTGTGAATTGTTATTGACCTATCTCCTTGTCAGTAAATTATTGATTCATCAAATAAGCAAAAATTGCATTAGCCACCATATTGGCTACCATGTATGCCAAAGCATCCGGCATTATTTAAAAAAAAAAAAAAACAAAACAGTAATAAATTGAATAAATATAAATACGAAATTCTTTCGTGAAAACAAATAATATACATGCATATATCAAAATATTTTGAATTTATTATAAGCATATCTGTTTGTATATTGAAATCAACAGAACATTTCTTCACAGAAAAAGAAATTTATTCATACAAGCTGCATGTTTGTCTGTTGTAAAACAAAATTGTTTCACAAAGTGATGATAATTATTAATAAATGGGACAATGCGGCGCCATGCATACCCTTTGCAGTCAGAAAGTCGTATTTTGCCCATGCAGCTACACTACTGTTTATTAATCAAAGTGCAAAATGCACATGCATCATAGTGCACATAGATCATACATGAAGATGACATGCTTGATTGGTTTGAACATAATTGATTATAATTTAGAAAAACAGGGATTGCATGGGCACAAGTTCTTAAACTTGTTACGCCCTCTCCTTACATGTATATTAATTTGAATCGTCACAGTTAAACATGAAGTTTTAAATTATACCAGTAATATATATTTACAAAATTACAAATCAATGCATTTTGTAGATATAAATGTAATTTTGTATATACATGTACTGGTTCAGTATATTTATTAATATCAACAAGGGAACCTACCAAAATGTTTAATAAATGTTTGACCAAAATAGAAGAGACGATGATCTATCCTTTTTTTTTATGTTTGAAGTGTATGGTAAAATTATAATTATTTAATTATGAAAGAAATTTTGCTCTTTTTTCGAAATTGAAATGTATCTCTCTTTATTTTCTCTGACATCTATAAAATAACAAAAATAAAATAGAAAAAAAGGCTTTTACATCCGTTTTTCTGAAATTACCTTGGCTGATAATTTTCCGGTTTTATCCGGAGGCATAAATTTAATCAGATACTTTCGCTTTGGTTTGGTAGCGCTTGCGTCGTACTTTGGCGCGAATCTTTGTTTTGCGTCTGGTTGTTTTTGGGTGGGAAAAGAGAGTGAGAGAAAGATTTTTTTGGGACCATTTCTTATTGTTGGTTAAGGTGCAGTTTGAAAATGGATGAGGGACATCACAAATTCTCAACAGAAGGAAAGCTAATCAAACGACGTCCAGATCGTAATGCTGAGTACAGGTATGAATTTAAAGAAGAAGAAAAAAAAATCTTGAGCATGTTGAACACTTGAGAATGGAAAATTCGCTCGCTCAGTCGTCTTTTCTCAAGAAATCGCAGTGAAGTAAAATGAGGTGGAGAAAATCCTCTTACGTTTGTTTGATGGGCAATTCTTATGACTTTTAACTGTTTATTGCCACCAATATCATGAATATGTAATTCCTTATACCATATGGTCCCTTTTTCTCATGATAGAATTACAACCAAGATGATAGGCAGGTCAGGTACATTCACTACATTTAGCAGTAATAGCTACGTAGATTGAATTACCTAGTTAGCTTTTTTTTACAAAGATTTATTTACCTACCCCAAGTAGCTTTATTTAGCTATTGAATCATATTTATTTCTTAAATGAACATTTTTTTTAATGATTTGCAGAAAACTGTACTTTCATGCAGTAATAATTTTTCAATTTTGAACTGATCTGAAAACAATTCATGAAAAAATTGAATCTTGACAAAGCTATTTATATGCAATTTTTCATAAAAATGTTTTGTTTTTGTAAGAAATGGACAAAAAAGTTGCAAGTATTTGACCATTCCTATATATGTACTATGGGCTAATATAAAATCAACCCAAATCAACGATAGTTCTAACGTTACAGCTGTTGAATACTTTTAAGCAAAAGATGAATTTCCATTGTTTGGATAACTATACACCTCCTTGTGTACAGTGCAGCACAGATACGTATGATTGCTTCTCATTGTGTTGAATTATAACCAGTCAATTATCTTGTTGACCATAACTGACCTCCTTCATAATTTCATTCAAGAAGTACTGTGTGGTCACAAATTAATATGCTTTATATAGCCCCAAAACTTTTAGAAACGAGTGCTAAGTCTCTCAAGGAGACACAATATTTGGTGAGTGATTTTTACATGCATTGTTTTCAGAAGGGTTCAAGGTTGAATATTATCACTGCACCAAGGTACATGCTGAAAAAATGACACATTCAAGAAAAAAGTGTGATAAAATAGCTAAATCAAGCTATTCTGAATAGCTTAATACAGCTTTACAGCTAAATCAAGAGATTGTGCTGGACCTGAATAATTTAGCACAATATGAAGTAATCATTCTTATCCATGCCTAGCTCCTCACAAGGTGGTGTACAGTTATGCAAACAATGGAGATGCATCTTTTCTTTGCTCCGAGTTGCTTTTTTAAAACTCCCTAGTACAAATATTAATAATCATATACTTGCAATTTTTTTGTCAATTTTAAATAAAATGCAAACTTGTGAAAACTTGGATAGATGTCTGATTGTAAACAAAACTTTACAATTTACATAAGGCCTAAAAAAATTGTTTGTTTCCTGTAACCCATCCTACCCATTCAAATTACCCCAGGATGGATTTTTTTTCTGCCAAATCTGTGTTTGATAATCAGCTGATTGAATTTATACAAAAAAATGTTAAATGAAGCTTTATATGAGACATAAATTATGTCAACCTAGTCAACATTTACCCTATATATAAAGACTAATCATTATTGAAACATCTAGCATTCCCTTGCAACTTTTTGAAGTTCGTTTTCTAGACAGCCATGTTGGATGTCCACTGTAAATATCACACCTGGTTAATTCAGTTTGGGGATGTTTGACCCCATTATGCATTGGCAAAAAAAAAAAAAAAAAAAAATCCCAACCTAAAAAAAACAAATGCTAAACAAATCCATCCCATTGCATTTGTAGGAGTAAAGAATTTCGGTATAGATCCAGAGATGGTGTGAGCCCTTTGAGAAGTCCACTTCAGCCAAAGAAAGACCACTGCAACAGAGCAAACAAGGAGACCACTGAATCACGAGACAGGTGACAAAGAACTGCATAAAAGCTGTATAGTTTATATCCCTAGTATCCGTCACTAGCTTGGAATATAAGTGGCCATTATAAATAGACTTGATTGATAATAAATTAATGTAAATTAATTTAGTTTATGTGTGATCAGTAATATAAAGATGTAATGGTAAATTAAGATCAGCATTCTTGCACTAACAAAAATATGTTCTTTTCTTAAAGAAACAGAAGACCTTTATGGAAAAATATAGAATTCTCAGAAAAGGTGCAAAATGAGGATTTCCCACCATTACGAAAAGACATATGGTAATTGTCATTGATTATAAAAATTCTGGAAGAAATGATTCAAAAAAGAAAATACCGTAAAGTCGCGTGTATTGGCCGCAATGGTGTAAAAGACGCACCCCCAAAGTTGGGTTGAAAGTCCTGAAAAAAAAACGCAGGTCCTATGTAAAATGCGCATCCAAAAAATGCATAAATTGGATGTGACTTTAATTTTCTAGTACAGTAACTTAAGATAAAAGTAGAAAAATTTACGAAATCTCAAACGAAAGTAGCAAGTCAGTTTTTTACTCTACGTATTATAATTGTGCATATGTGAACATTTAAATTTAATCTTTTTAATAATTATATAACCAGAGATAATAAAAGAAATACCTGATTATTTTCTTTTCAAATTAATTCCAAGCGTGTTATGAAGTTATGCTTACCGGTATATTGCATAACAAGTGCGTGTCAGCATTTACGTAAACAAAAATCATACCCAAGTGATATTAGTGTCAAAGGTATGGCTTCGGGTAATTAAACAGTTCTTGGTATCCATCGATAATTATTTTAGTTAGCTAGTGCAATGAACAATCAGTGCTGTGACCATGATGACATGCTCAATGAATATTTTAATATTTATGTCTTATGAACATTTTCTTGAATGTGCTTGATTGTATTTTACAAATACGTTTTTATTTGTGCTTCCGACTGAAATACGTTTTAATAAGTTCTTTTAAAAAACGTGTTGCTTTCATTGCAGGTGTTGAGGTGATAATTGTTAAATAAACAATGGTTATGTCCTACGTGACAACATAGACTGAAGTTATATATAACAATGACGCGACAATAGAATCCCTAACGATTTGCACCTCTAATTGCATATCTGAAATTTAATAAAATAAAAATAAGATACAGAATTAAGGGTAATTCAGAATATATCACAAAGATTATAGTTGTTGATTCATTTATAGGTATTAATATATCTTTGTCTTAAGCGACATGCAGTTCTTGTATATGATTTAAGCGACGGTAGTTCAAAATGGCGAAATACGCAATGGAAATAAAACAAAAACAAAGATCGTTTTTCATTATGGTTTTATTTATGAAACGATTATCTTATTTTAACAGGTAGGGTAGATGTATATGACTACAACAGGTAGAACTGACGTAAATGACTCTGAAATTAGAGTAATACAGGGCTAGAAATAATTATTTTTGTTTACTAGTCACTCAGGCTATTGCCTTAAATTTTTACTGGACAGCTGAGTACTTTCACTGTCCCTCTAGGCCAGTAGATTATAAAAAGACTGGCCCAAAACCATAATAATAATAGTAATATTTTTTATATTGTGATACTTAGAAGCACAATTTATCAAAACAACAAACGGCAGAAGTTGGGAAACACAACCCTGTCAAGTTAACTAGCCCGAATGTGAATGAATTTTATTATGCATTAAAAAATGCTGACCCAAAGGGCACATGCCTTCTGCAATGTACTAGCCCAGATTGAAAATTCACTGGTCCCAGACCAGCGGGCCATCAATTATTTCGAGCCCTGTAATAGTAATAAACTTTGATGTTATTGGTTACAAAGAGTAATCAATTCATATGGATCGGGAAAATGGTCCTCAGCACTGTGAAAGTGACCTGGAAAAAAGGGGGTTATATTTTGTTCCGATGTATTAAGCACATCCCTAATTTTAAACAAATTTCTGAAGAAAAGAAAGTACGGCCAATACAGGCGACTTTACAGTACTTAAAAGAACTTAACTGTTAACCAATGTTGAAAATTCATTATCTATGGGACCAAAGGTTCAAAGACCGAGGGTCTACATGAGTCCTACCAAGGCAGTAAAAATTATTTACTTTTAGGTCACTTAAGTGACACAGGTGAAATATTCCTATCTGTTCCTATCTTTGTCCGTTGTCATCCATTGTCCGATTACATTTGAACATTTTCAGCTTTTTCTCTGAAACTGTAGAAAATGTTCAAACATTTTTATGCCCCGCCATGAATATGGCCAGGGCATATAGTGTTTGTCATGTCCGTCTTCCGTCCTTCCGTCACACTTTGCGTTTAGCTCAGTTCAAAGCTTAGTTTCAAAGAAACCATACAAGATATTGTTGTCAAACTTTATATATGGATACATACTGATGTAAGCTATTCAACTGCATCAACATTTTTTGACCTTGACCTTTTCTTTGACCTTGAGTTTACTTTTCTTAAATTGGTGTTTAGCCCAGTTTTAAAGGTACCATTCAAGATAGTGTAATCAAACTTCATATGTTGATACATACTGATGTGAGCTATTCAACTGCATCAATATTTTTGACCTTGACCTTTCCTTTGACTTTGAGCTCTCTTTTCTTAAGGACCCTATATACACTAGAGGAAACTATTTTTTGGACATTGAGAAAATTATAGTATGTAAAGGTGTAAGCATTGAGCTTATCTATCACTTTTTCAGCATAGGGTGCCTTGCATTTACCCCCAGGAAAAATGTTCAAAGACAATGAAGTACTGATGAACATAAATCACTGTTGTTTACTTAAACGGGCAAAATACATGCATATGAAGTGTTCTATCTATTCATCTTGGCCTATTAAAGTGTTATGAATGCTTGATTTGATTGCAAATTAAGTAATAAACCGTACATTTCAATTTATTTTATTTTTAATCAAAGGGCAGATCACTCTATCTGCATAAAAATACCACAAAATCAGAACTCTCTAGTGTGCAGTGTATAGAGGGCTCTTAAGGTAGGTCACGGGTTTACTGCATAAAAATTTTTACGAGAAAACATATCCTGAAAATTTGATATAATGTTCCTTAGAATTTGCTGCATATTATCTGAAAATTTTATTAAAATTGCCTACGTGGTTTTAATGCTATATTACTGTAAACACAGTATAGTTTTCGGTACATTTTTACGCTTTACTATAAAAATATATAGGAAAATAACGTTTTTAAAACAATTTTATCGAAAGTGTTTCTTTAGAAAAGGTCGGATAACTTTTTAAAGACGTAGACAAATTACTCAGAAATTTCAAAATATCAAGATGAGGTAAAATTAAAACTTTTGAGGTAAAAAAATCAGTATGTCTTCTCGCTAGTTTTTTTGCTAAATAATTTCAAAGTTTGCTTTTATAATGCCAAAATGTTGCGTTTATGGCGTTATTTATGACTAAAACGTCATATATTGAACTTAATCGCGTTTACATACAGGTATCTTTATATTTGGAATATACAAGATCTAAAAGGTTACATAGATGCACACTGTAATTTTATTCAGCATTTCACTTATTGTGGAAATGTGTTAAGAAGAACAGCAACTTATCTACTCTAGTATTGTGAAATTCATATTCTGTCCACGACATCAGAATGAACGGTATATTGATATAAACATTCTTCGTGCATTAGAATTAAATATGCAGCGACAACACTGCGTTTGATAATATATTAATTCAAGTAATGTTAGGATGTTCAAGTTCATTATTAAATTTTCAAGAACCTGGTATAACACGTGAATTTTATCACTTCATTCGAAATAGGTCAATAAAAAAAAACCACTACTGAGAGGGGGGGGGGGGGGGTTTACCGGCAATGTTCCTTTTATATAAATCGAAAGTCGTAGGTCAACTCTCAAACATTTGTTCTTTCTTTTTTTTTTTTAATGAATTTTCATCAGCAAAATGTAAAATACTTGCATTCAGCTTATATGCAGACAGCTTAATTTTGTTATATAGAAAAAAAATTGTACTCGATACTTGTATTTCGTAATACATGTAATATATTATTATCTGTTTACAGTGTCATAAAGGTCCGATATGCTGGGTTTTTGTATTAATTTATTTTAACATGTTTAATGCATTTCGCTATGATAAATCAATTCCTTGCTTGCCTGCATATAGAGAACAACTGTATCAGATTCAAATACAAGATAATTTTTTTTAAAAAAGAGGAAAATGCATGTAATTAAATTTCATCCGTTTTTAGTGTTGAGGGATTGACTTTATCCTAAAAAATAACATTTTTCCAAGCTGTGTTGAGCAAACATGGTGTATTTCGCACCTTCCCTTCGTTGCAAATTACGTGCATACTTACAGCCTTTCAATTTTTCGGCTTAGCAGTTTACGGTAACTTTCTTTTTGCATGCCGTATCTTTAATTTAACACTGACTCATTTTCATTGACCTTTAGCAGTATAGTCTCATTTACAATATAAATTATTCCTTGCATTTTGCATCGCATTTACATGTCATGTTTTATTAGTTTGTTCTTACACATATTACACATACGTGTATAATCAGAGCAGAATTCAAACCTACATGGATAATACTCTTGGTTTATTCATTTACGAGGTTTACGGAAAATAACATGTACTTTCTACGCTTCGCACGGACTAGATTCTATTGCTAAAGTAATTTTCAGAGAAATAAACGGGAAGCTATGCAACGTCGCCTTTGTGACGTAACTGACGTCATAATCAAATGTGCACAAAACAACCACTCCAATTGTCGAAATTGTGTACCAAAATTGATGACAAAAGCAAACCCGCGACCTACCTTAAATTAGTGTTTAGCTCAGTTCTAAAGAAACCATTCAATATAGTGTTATCAAACTTCATATGCTGATACGTACTGAAGAGAGCTATTCAACTGCATCAACATTTTTGACCTTGACCTTTCCTTTGACCTTGACCTCTTTTTTCTCAGTTTTAAAGAAACCATTCATAATATTTTTATCAAACTTCATATGCTAATACATACTGATGTAACCTTTTCAACTGCATCAACATTTTTTCTCCTTGACCTTTCCTTTGATCTTAACTTCATTTATTTTAAAGTAGTGTTTAGCTCAGTTTTAAATAAACCATTCAAAATATTTTAATCAAACTTAATAGGCTGATACATATTTGTAAGAACTATTCAACTGCATCAAAAAAATTGACCTTGAACTTTCCTGTGACCTTGACCTCGCTTAAATTTGCATTTTGCTTAAATTTAAAGAAACCATTTACGATATATTTATGTAAGCTTATGCACTTAAACATCTATATCCAACTTTTTAGATTTCAATTTCAATTTTATAGAAACTATTTAAGATATTCTCATCAAATTTCAAATTTCATACACTAATACAAATTTCATACACTAATACAAATTTCAAATTTCATACACTAATACAAATTTCATACACTAATACAAATTTCATACACTAATACAAATTTTCATGTTGTTATACTAATATACCCTCAGCGGGGCATTCATGTCCTATGGACATATTTCTGGTTGTCATTATACATGTATAGCATCTATGATGAAATGAAACGAAAATTGTGAATTTAATGGTCCATGTACTGCTGTGGCCTGAGGGATGGGGTTAAAACCATCGAATTCAAATTTTAAAAATCTTCTTCTTTACTCCTGGACATCAAGCAGTGAATTGCTGTGATATATAAATATTCAGCCCTCCACCAAAATTATGAAATTCATGTCCCCCAGGGTCAGGGGTTCTGGAGTTGGGGTAGGGCTCTAATGATCAAATGGTGAAAATGTATCAATTCTTTAAAATTCTTTTTCCCTCCCCCATATATTTTGCAGGTGAACTAGGTGCATGGGTGCCTCTTCCAAAATTTTGAAAGTTGTAGCCCAGGGTGGGACTGGGTATTTAACAAGTAAACTAAGTGCATGGTTATGATGAGACAAGGTGTTTGGCAGAGGAGGGGTGGATGGGCTCTAATGATTATGAAAACACATTATTGCTTTGAAAATTTTCTCTGCTCCTAAGGTATTAAGCAAACAAATTAAGTGCAAAGTTGATTAGCAAGGGTGCCTCTTCCAAAATTGTGCATTTCTTTGTCCTTGGGTCAGGGGGTTGGTGTTTGAGTGGGGCTTTATTGATGATATAGTGAAAATGCATTAATTCTTTGAAAATCTTTTCTGCCCCTGGGTATTAAGCAAACAACTAGGTGCATAAATATAATGAGTAAGGTTGCCTTTTCCATAATTGTAATTGTAGCCCCAGGGTCAGGAGTTTTTGTGTAAGGGCAGGTCTTTGTTAAAAATATAGTGAAAATGCAGTTGTTGTTTGAAAGTCTTCTCTGCTCTTAAGCACACAAACAAAGTGCATAGTTATGATGAGAATTGGGACCCCTTCAATTTTTCATGATAGAAAAGTTTTATAACTAACTTGCAAGATTATAAATTTTTAATAGATTTGCTCTTTACAGGTAAAGAAGACATTTCACCATCAATTTATTTAAGTGTCATATATTTCACCTTTTAAATTGTTTAAGAAGATTCTAAAGTTTGAAACATTTTGCAGTTACACACCTGAAGCTACTGATTTAAGGAGCCAAACAAGGGTTAGAGATTGGGCTGAAGAAATGGAGATCAGGGACCGTGAACAATCAATGCACAAGTAGGCTTACATATTGAAAAAAAAAAATATATCACACTTCATAAAGCAGTGCACTATAGAAGTTTTGTATCCATTCTATCATTATGATAAAAGAAAGTCTTCTGAATATGAACTGAGTATTTTTATATCCATTATAAGTGAAATGGAGTCCGGATGGAGTGTGTGACAACCATAGCCAATTGTTACAATATTTCTGTTAGAACAATCTCAAACATTTGCTCTTGTATCAACGGAGATTTAACCGCTTTGATAAATTGTCATGTTTGATCTCGGTTACGTATATGTTTGAATAATATGCTTGTAAGCAACACAAAAAATCTTAGTTAATAGAGCGTTTTCTTAAAAACTGAAAGTACATAAAAAATAAAACTGAAATGTGATTATGTTTCAGAAAAAAAATTGTTCGCCATGTGGGCGACCAGATTTTTAATATTTAATCGCCCACAGCAAATTTTACTCGCATTTGTGAGTGGGCGACTGGTTATCCACAACCCTGAGGCCTTAAAAAAAAAAATTCCAAAAATCCCTTGCCAGACAGAAATTTTTTCCCCAACCTCAATTTTTAGCTCACCTGAGGCAAAGGCTCAAGTGAGCCTTTCTGATCGAAGGGTTTTGGCATCTGTCTGTCGGCTAAAAACTTTTCACATTTTCCATTTCTTTCTCAAGAACCACTGGCCAATTTCAACTAATCTTGCCACAAAGCATCCTTGAGTGAATGGGATTTTAGTTTGTTCAAATGAAGGGTCATGCTCTCTTACAAGTGGGGATAATTAAGAATGAGTGTAAATTAAATGGCACTTTTTAAATATCTTCTCAATAACCAAAGGTCCAGAAAAGATGAAACTTAGGTAAATGCTTCATTATATGTAGATTGAAGTTAAACAAATCATGACCCCATGGGGTAAGGGTGGGACAAAGTAGACAAAGTTTTACATAGGAATATATAGCAAAAAAATCTTCAAAAACTTCTTGTCAATAACAGTAAAGTCATGATTAGTCATGCTTATATCAGGGCTTTCAAAAAGATAAGAAATAGGTGGTACTTTTACAAAAATAGGAGGTACCTTGTGGAAGTAATTTTAATTTAATATGTTATCAGCTTTTTCTCCAACAAATATTTTGGCTGGTACAAACATGATCTCCCCTGGGTAAAAGTACCAGGTACAGGCAGATTGCCTGTTATATGGAAGTGTCATCAGGTAGTGTAGATTCAAGTTTGTTCAAAACATGGGGGGGGGGGGAGGGGGGGACAAATAGACAATCAGGTTTTATACACAGGAATATATAGGAAAAATCTCCTCAAGAACAAAGCCATAAATAGTCATGTTTATATGGAAGCATCACCAAGTAGTGTAGATTCTAGTTTGTTCAAATTATGACCCCCTTGGGAAGTGAGGGGCCACAATGGGTTATCGAAGTTTTTCATAGGAATATTAAGGGAAAAAAACTTAAAACGTCTTCTACTCAAGAACAGCAAAGCCATGATTAGTCATATTAATATGGAAGCATCGTCAGGTAGTGTAGATTCAAGTTTATTTAAAACATGACTCTGGGGGTGGATGGGGGCCACAATGCCCCATCAGAGTTTAAGATGTACAGATATATTAAAAAAACTTCTTTAAAATCTTTTCTCAAGAACAGCAAAGCTTATGTTTAGTCACATTGATATAAAAGTATCTCGAGGTAGTGTAGATTCAAGTTTGTTCAAATCATTGCCCTGAGGGGAAGGGTGGGATCACATTAGGGGTCAAAGATTTGTAAAGGAATATATAATAGCTAAAATCTGCTGATGAAGAACAGCAGGACCATATTAACTCAGGTGACCAATGTGGCCAATGGGACTCTTGTTTTGCCTTGACCTTCCTAATGACCTATGACTATATAATTTATTGTGTATAAAACTTAGTTTAAAGAAACTATTCAAGAATCGAACTTCATACACTAATGCAAATTTTCATGTTGCACTACTAATGAACCCTGGGTAGGGCTTTCATGTTCTATGGACATGTTTCTATAATTGTAAATTTTTCCATTTTTTAAGGGGTAGAAGGAAACTTCAGCTGTATGGGGAGGAGTCAAGGCAACAGAGGTAAGTACTCTTTAACCCATCGTATAACAAACCAAAAAAAAAGAGTGAAATAAAGGTATGTGCTAAGCAATTTTCCTCCTAGTAATGTAACGGGAACAGATAAATTCTGTCATTCTCAATGCTAAAAGAAAGTTATATTTTTCAACAACCAGTACACAGATTTGATGAAAATAAGTTTAGTAGAATGTTTGTAGATACAGATATTAAATTCTTGTACTTGATATCATTGATAACTTTTTGCTGTTATGTGTATATATAGAGATAGATAGATGTTGTGCTATATGTAGTGATGAAACGATTATTGCTGACGATCAATTGTCAATCAATAGGAGCTCTTTAATGCCTCTAATCAATTATGAAATTTAAGTCCCCGACGTCGCTGATGAAAATATTAAGGGTTAATTTGGGTGTAAACTTCAAATTTTATTACCCCCCAAAATTTTTTTTAGAAAGTTCAAAAGTTATCCTGAATGTTTAAAACGTAAAAACCTTCTTCACTTCAACGGTTGTTGTTGACAATTTTTACTGCCATGTTTGAATGGTCAGGCTAATAACAGGAAATGGCCAGCGTTATGGGGTTCTACTATGATTGGAAATACACAAACAGTACAGAAGTTCTATAAACTTACCGTATATACTTGCCTATAAGTTTGTCCGCTCATAATTCGGTTGTATTTTTTTTAGATTAATTCGGAAGAGTTAGCCATTGACACGCATACAAGTCGGTGCAGGTTTTTGATAGAATCTGTTACCAATATTAGATTAATAATAATCTATTGTATTTACCAGTGTTTCAAAGTGCATTTTAGGGTAAGACATTGATATTTGATCTTTTATTAACAATTTTAACAAATACAGGATCATTTAAATCTCCGAGTACTTGTTTTATGTGCAGGTGGAAACCTTAGATCTTCATTTCTGCATTAGAATATGTTCCGATCTTTACAAACGTAAAGTTGTTACACTAGTAGTAAATTTCCTCTTCCAGAAAAATTCCAAATTTTCTAGAACTTGCATATAAGTCGGACCTAAAGTTTTGGTTCAAAATTGAACTCCCAAAAATCCTACTTATAGGCGAGTATATACAGTAACAATTTTATAAGTCGATTGAAATTAGACAAAGTAATTCCAAGAAAATAAATAATAGAATATGTGACTTATATCAGTAATGTACATGTATTTATTTTTTTAATGAAGCATCGATCCTACAGGAATTTAACTCTTATTTTCAATTTTACTGAGATAAAGAATACTTTGTCATTAAACAAATTTACTGAAAAGAATTATTTTGTTTATTTATATAAATTACTTAATTTCTCACTTAATTCAGTTTATATTAATCCGGAAGTGAAACATTTTCTATTAGACAAGATGCTGCATTCAAATTGTATATTGTCTGCATGATACACAGTAGTTTGCCATACTTATTTTTTTTTGTAAGGGCTTTATGAATGACTCTGACTGCATGTTTGATTTTAATTTCAAGATAAAAATCTTAATTATTCTGTAAGGTAAAGGCAATCTAAATATCATGCACTCTTAATATTTTCTGTCATGTGGATCCTATTTTTTCAATACTAAAATAAAATTGAAAACAACAAAGAGAATTGATATTCTAATGTTTAAATACAAAAAATTTTCATTTATTACATACATTAACACTTTCAAGCTCGTACATGTAATTAACTATCTAAGTATACCAATGTGACCAAATTGGGCATTCATGTTACCCGGCCAGTGGCTCATTATGGGACACCCGTATAATTATGTTCGGATTACCCTCAGTGAAATCATAATGTTTTAATATCTAGTTTTGTTGACAAAATAGCGCCTGAATTCCGAATGTACAGTGGTCGGAATATACAATTGTGCCAGAAGCATAGTTGTCGGATTGGACAGTGGACACTGTATTTCATTGAGAGAATCACAGAATTTTTAAAATTAATTTTGTAAATTGTTACATACACTAGCTGATACATTTTTCTAGTAAAGGTATACAAATATTCATTATTGATGTCAGCATTTGAAACTCACGATAGAATTAGCTAGACATACAGGGCTGACTGCTGAATGACAAAGTGAAAGTTGTAAGCCCAGCCAAAACTCAACTAGCCCGAGAAAATAAGTCTTTTATGAATATGTTTTAGCGATAATGTGAATAGGGCATGATCACCATATTTTCCATCCCAAATCTATAGGCTGTTGAGTTCTACCCTTTGCTTGTTACACTTAGCCACCGATACTATCAGTTGATTTGAGAGATATTTATCAAATATATGAATTTTAACATGTCCAGTTGGGCATTGATACATGCAAATCTGTTTGTCCGCGGCAAAATTTGTGCGTCTCGGGCGGTCGGGCGCACGGTTATTTCAAACAATGTTGATGTATGAGATTAGAATTTTTACTATAAAATTCATGTAAATAGAATTATTTTTAGATTTGAAAGGGAAATTGACCGATCTGTCTTAGAACGACGCCAGAAGGCCATTGACTATGGCAAAAATACCCTAGCCTATGACAGATACATACGAGTGGTGCCCAAGTAAGAGAGATTCATGCTTGTTAAATGTAGCATAGTAACACAGTAAAATAACACTACTGCAGTGAAACATTTTCATGAAGAATTTCAACATTGACAATTCAAATAAATTTCTTATGCAGGACAACAAGAAATGTGTTTTAAATAAGATAATGGAGATAAATATTGTGTTGAAATTTCCTAATCTTCTTATTTACCTTGATTACAATAGAGCCCAGAGATTAAAGACACATCCAAGAACTCCCAATAAATACAGAAAGTGCAGCCGTCGTTCTTGGGACAGTCAGGTACGCCTGTGGCGTATAGCACTCCACCAGTGGGACCCACCTAATGCTGATGGAACCATTGCACCACACAGGTTAGTACATGAGAACAGTTTCCAATAATAGGTCGTGTTAAACATGCATGATGTTCACAATTCAATTTCTTTTTATACATTGACACATGGGTGTGTCATGACCTTGACCCAAAATCAATCCGGGAAGTTCTCAAGGTCATTGGCAGAAAAAAAGTATAAAATTCTCATCCAGGCTATAATTTTCAAATGGAGAATCACTGGAAGCTCATACTTGATACATAGACTGCTTATGATCTGAGGGTGTGTCATGATCTTGATCCAAGGTCAGTCTGGCAAGTTCAAGGTCATTGGCAGAAAGGTACAAAAATTCTTGCCTGGGCTACAACTTTGTAATGGAGAATCATTGGAAGCTCTTACTTGGTACAGGGATTGTTTATGACCTTGGGGTGTGTCATGACCTTGTCCTAAGATCATTCCAGCAAGTTCAGGGTAACTGGTATAAGGCTTTCAGAAAGATTAGAAATGTATTACTTCGAAAATAGGAGGTACCTTGTGAAAGCTATTTTAAATATGTTACTAATTTTTTTTCTCCATCAAATATTTTGGCCAGTACAATCATGATTTCAGTTGGGTAAAAGTACAGGGTACTGGCAGATTTTGAAAGACCTGCTGGTTTATAAGCATGTCTTTAATTTTCTAATGGAGAAACATTGCATGTACAGATTTCACTGAAAGATTACTAATGAACAGGGGATGTGCCTTTTTTTTTAACCAAGGACTTGGCAAGTTCAAGGTCACATTTACAAAATTTCAATGGGCACTTAAAAGATTTAAGATTTTTGCTTCAGCATACAATTGTTATAATAACAAGAAGATCCCAAAATCTTAATGAATATGAGCAATACTGTAGATTCCTAAATATACGCGAAGAATTAATTATCGCGTAATTACGTGAGAAGCACCGCCCGCGAAATTAAATTACTCGCTTTTATTTTTATGGTGCTTTAAGGATACACCAAAGGTTTCCAAATGCCAGAATTTAATTTGCATGTAATTCTTTCATTATCAAAGATAACATAATAAAAGTATACATCATTTGAAAGCTTGTTAAATTTACTATTGAATTATCCTAATTTAAACTTTAATTAATAACTTATTTAAAAATTATTTAAATATTAATGTAAATTGTAGTGCATAAATATTTTATAAATCAACTTTTTTGTATTTAACCCCTCAAAGTGTTAATTTTGCCTCAAGGTAAATTAAAGATTGAACTTAAAAACTGTATCTCAGATTTTTGATAAATCTTCTAATTCAAAAGTTACAGCCATTTGTCCTTCAATATTAACAATTTATTAGCCTAATTTAACATTTCCCTCAATAATTCCAAAACTAAGCTAGATATCAAAAATCTGAGATACGGTTTTGTGAACACACATTTGAGAAGTAACCCATCCAATTTTCAGAGAAATTGGTCAATAAATAAGGGAGCTGAATCCTTTGAAATAATACCACAAACTGTCTGATCTTACTTTACAGTAGAGGGCAAAAACCCATTACACAACAAAATCTGCCAAAGCTAGGAATATATGACACCTTGGAGATTCAGCTTTGGATACCTGTCACTTAGCCATATTTTCCATGAATATTCACAAGAATGGGAGGTTCTTTTCTGTATTTAGATGCTTTTAATCAAGTAAAATAGGTTCAATTCTGAATCAGAAAGATTTCCCGGCAAAATGGCAAGAGCTAAGCTCCACCTCCTATTTTATGGTCATCAGTGATCTGTTAGATCTTCTTCTCTAAATCTAGAGTCCCTGTAGTTTAATTACTGATAACCTCTGTGTGGCTAGTGAAGAATTCCCGAAGTGGTCACAGTGATTTATTGCGTCTTTCATGAGCAGGCAGTTACAGATCAAATCAGAAGCTTCAATAACGGAACATTCACATGTGGTAGTGTTTATGTTTCATTATTGTTAAATAATTAGAAAACCATTTCACAATTACCAAAAATTTTACATGCATTATAAAGCAGTGATTAACTTCTTTTTCTTAGCCAAAAATCTCAAAATTGTTGAAAATCTTGTAAAAAGCCTTTGGTGTATCCTTAATGTATGTAAAATCACTAGATATATCACCCCTTCGCGAATTATTGTTCTCGCGATTTGACGCCCTTGGGCCATTTCGCGATATTAAGTACTCGCGTAAAATAAGGAATCTACAGTACTTATGATTAAATGAGTTTAAGAAGTTTTTAATTTCTCTGTATTTGCCTCATTCATAATTTAATATATAAAACATAAAATATAAATGTTTGATACTGTGAAATAAATTTGGAAATCTTCATGATAAATATGTACATTAGGAATAGAGAAATATAATAAAAGTTTCTTGATTCAAAGAAAGTTATGAAATTCTGTTTTGAAAAAAAATCTTTAGCAAAGAAACTTGATGAAGTTTTGTGTGACATACAAGTGAATGATATCTGCATTATCTTGGATATGATTAAATACTCTTAATACATGTCTTGGATAATATGTGGAAATACCCTGAATACTCCCTGATTTCAAGGTCCATGGACCTCTTGAAAGATTTTAGACTTATGGTGTTTGAAGGAAAACACACATTGCATGTTGTACCAGAGTAGTAAAAATTATTTTGTAGCTGTGTCATCTTTGTAATAAAGATTCTTTCTGCCTTATTACAGGAATCCTTCTCTACTGGACACTTCTTCAGAGAGTGCGTCCGACTGTGGCGATGTTCATTTGAGCTCACTCTCTCTGTCGCAGCCATCTGAGCACGACTCAGATGCTGATTCTGAAATATCCTCTACCTCAACTGATGTCTTAAGGAGGCCACAGAAATTTACTGCTCTGGTGGACAAAGAGAATGCTGATCAGTTGAATGAATCTGATTTAGAGATGGATGTTAACCTCACTCTGGAGTGATGAAGCTCACCGTGGGGGGTGAAGCACATGGTATGCATCTTCTTAAACATCTTGGACAAGGATCTGTTGACTGAATGAGTGATTGTATGATGTGCGATATGAATTAATAGTCTTAATACAAAGTGAATTTATCATGGTTTATAAGAGTTGTTGTTTGTTTATCAGCAAAATTTTGCATAGATCTGTGAGTTTTGAAAGCTTTTGTCTTTTCAATTCATATCATTTATAGTACCTTAGAAAGGATGGTAAATACCTTGCAATCCAATCAAATTGCCTTGTGTATTGTAAAAGTTGTACTTTCATTTTCACTTTTCAATTGATGATATTGTAAATGTCCATGTGAAGTTCAGTGTGCACCAATGAGGTCATAGGAAAGTTCACAGACAATCAGTGGAGTGAGAGTGTCCAATGAAAAGTGAACATGATCATTAGTGCTACTAGTGTATTTATCTTAAATTCCCTGTTTATTTCGTCATGTGATCATCTTAATTCATTTTCATTGTCTAGATTAAGATATTTATGAAGATTTAGATGTGTGTGATCTATTCAGTCATTTATATGTTGTTTGGATATTCCTGATTGTAATCTGAATGTAAGGTTTTCAGAAGTTTGCTTGTTGACATATATATATTCATAAAGATTTAATAATTGTGATGGTAGATATATAATTTGTAATACCAAACAAAACAGCTCTAAAACTATTCATATGAGTTTTCTTTGCACATTTGACACTTAATGTATTCAGCCTACTCAGGATCCAAGTCTTTCCAAAGCATTCTTGATGATTTATTTCTTTTGTCGTCAACAGTTTTTAAAAGGCAGCATGCTATTTTAACATGGTTTTCATCAACATATTTTTAAATGCACCATTTGTCATCTTTTAAGTTTTAATAAAATTGTGCATCTCTTCATATGTACGAGTACTCTGTTTCTTCTGAAAACATAATTTTGTGTACCATTTTATGAAAATTTTGAAGGCAAACTCCAATTGTTGTCCGTTTTTCTGCTGTGTAAATTAATAGTTGAATAAATTTATACTCTCTGTAATCTTGTTATTAAATATTCATTTGAGCAGGGACATTGTCAGCTCAAATGCAGTTTTTAAAAAATTGAAATTATTGTTTGCTCATCTCAGCTGGCCCAAGGAACATTAAACTTCTAAAGCTCAAGTCAACAAGATGTGTTTGTGAAACACTGATGCCCCCATATAGCAGCTTATGGCTAAGGTTAAAGTTTTCAAATGCAAGTCAAACTCCATGTCAAGAGATCAAAAATGTTGGTATTCAAAGAAAGGTCTTGTCTCGAGGAATATACCTGTGAAATATGAAAGCCCTAGCACCAAACGTTGAAAAGTTATGGCGAAGGTTAAAGATTTTTAAAAGTAAGCAAAACGTCAAGATCAAATGGTGGCCAAGGGAAGATCATGATACACGTTCGTGAAATGTGAAAGCCTTGGAACTAAACATTCAAATGTGATAGCCAAGGTTAAAGTTTTTTAAATGTAGGTCAAACTCCAAGGTCAAAATTGTTGGTATCCAAAAGAAGGACTCACAAGGAATGTACATGTGAAGCATGAAATCTCCATCACCAACTGTTCAAAAGTTATGTCCAAGATTAAAAGTTTTTCAAAATTAAAGTAGGTCAAACTCCAAGGTCAAGGTTGTTGATATCCAAAGGAAGGTCTTGTCACAAGAACTATAGATTTGAAGTATGAAAGCTCTAGCACCATTAGTTCAAAAGTTATGGCCAAGGTTAAAGTTTTTTTTTAAAATAGGTCAAACTCCAAGGTCAAGGTCAAAAGGACAAAGTTGTTGCTATCCAAAGGAAGGTCTTGTCACAAGGAATACGCATGTAAAGTATGAAAGCCCTACCACCAACTGTTCAAAAGTTATGGCCAAGGTTAAAGTTTTTTCAAAAGTGGGTCAAACTCCAAGGTCAAATATGATGGTACCCAAAGAAAGGTCTTGTCACAAGGAATACACATGTATGTGAAATATGAAAGCTAAAGCTCAAACCAATCAAAAGTTATGGGCAAGGTTAAAGTTTTAGCAAACAGACAGACGGACGGACAGGGTAAAAACTATATGCCCCCCGAATCTTCGATTACGGGGGCATAAAAATGTATATAATGCACTGAAATGATTTTGAAATCAAGCAGTCCAAAATAAAAGAGCTGCTAGTATTTAACTTGGCATCATCAACATGCTGTTGTCGTCAAATGAAGAGCTTTAGTTCACAAGTAATGAAAGTTTTACAAATGATTAAAATTTGGAGTTTAGATTGCTTTCATAATCCTGGGACCTGAAAGCTCAAGTGATCTTTTCTGATCAAATTTTGTCTCACGTTTGTCTGTCTGAAAACTTACCATTTTCAACTTCTCAAGAACCACTGGACTAGTTTCAACCAAACTTGCAAAACATCCTTGGATGAAGGAGATTCAAGTTTGTTCTAAGGGGGGAGGGGTTAATTTTAATGGTGAACATTTGATGGGGTCTTTTAAAAATCTCAATAACCACTGGGCCAGAAAAAAGTACCTATGGGGAAGCTTATTGATACAGTGTAAATTCAGGTTAAAAATCATGGCCTGCGGGGAGATAAGGATGAGGCCAGAATAGGAGATGAAACTTTCATTTTGGAAATAATATTCTCGAGAACAACAGGACCATGATTAGTCATATTGATATGCAATCAGCAGATTCAAGTTTCTTCAAATCATGTTCCCCTGGCCATGGGTAGGGTGGGGCCACAATAGGGAATCAAAGTTTCACATTTGAGTATACAGAAAAGTTTCAAAAACTGAACGACCATTATTAAAGGGGCCTGCCCAAGACCATAAACTAAGAATAGACTTAAGTCAAAATTTCAAATCAATGTAACTTTTGAAATAACTTTGATAATGAAACAAAATTTTCATAAAATGTTTGAACTTGAATATAATACAAACCTGCAATTTTTTATGCACATATGCTAAATAAAACTCAAGATATTCAAAATAAAAATTTTGACTTAAGTCTGTTCTCAGTTTATGGTCTTGAGGACTGGACACAGATTTGAAGTTAATATTTTCTCAAATTTTCTGTATAATATCATGACTTATATGTAGCTATAACATTTCATATGGAAATATAATATAAAACTTATTTTATCTGGAAATTATTGAAACTACAAATTTCGGGATGCATTTGATTGACACATTCTTGCACTTTCACAAAGTAAACTTTATCCTTAATACTTAAGAAAAGTAGAAATTTTGTTGTGTATTATAATGGGAAATATTCAAACTATAATTCAGAAAATTCAGAGTAGAAATGTGAAAAAGCAAAACCAACTCACCAGTATTGTCAGTCCCTGCTCAGTGATGTGTGCAGAGTTTAACAAATTGAACAAACCCAGTGAAACGTAAACAGCTTTTGTAAATGGGACAAGCTCTGTTATCGTTAATGTTTACGTTTCACGGGTGTGTTCAATTTGTTAAAATCTGCACACATCACTGAGCACAGACTGAAAATACTGATGAGTTGGTTTTGCTTTCTCACATTTCTGGATTTTAGTTTTAATATTAACAAGAGGCCCATGGGCCACATTGCTCACCTGAGTGACTTTGGCCTGTTCTTTACCAGATTTCCCCCCTTGTAATTATACCTATTGTGGCCCCGTCCTACTCCCGGGGGTCATGATTTGAAAAATAAAGAATCTACAATACCCCAGGATGCTTCCACATAAGTTTCAGCTTTTCTGGCCCAGTGGTTCTTGAGAAGAAGATTTTTAAAGAATTTTCCTATGTATTTCAATGTAAAACTTGGATTCCCTATTGTGGCCCCACCCTACCCCCGGGGGTCATGACTTTAAGAATTTAGAATCTACTCTACTTGAGGATGCTTCCACATAAGTTTCAGTTTCTCTGGCACAGTGGTTCTTGAGAAAAAGATTTTTAAAGATTTTTCCAATATATTTCAATGTTAAAAACTTGGATTCCCTATTGTGGCCCCGCCCTACCCGGGGGGTCATGATTTTAACAATTTAGAATCTACACCATCCCAAGATGTTTCCACATAGGTTTCAGCTTTTTTGGCCCAGTGGTTCTTGAGGAGAAGATTTTTAATGATTTTTTCCTCTATATTTCAATGTAAAACTTGGATTCCCTATTGTGGCCCAGCCCTACCCCAGGGGGTCATGATTTTAACAATTTAGAATCTACACTACCCCAGGATGCTTCCATAAAAGTTTCAGCTTTTCTGGCCCAGTGGTTCTTGAGAAGAAGATTTTTAAAGATTTTTCCTATATATTTCAATGTAAAACTTGGATTCCCCATTGTGGCCCTGCCCTACCCCCGGGGGTCATGATTTTTTCAATTTAGAATCTACACTACCCCAAGATGCTTCCATATAAGTTTCAGCTTTTTTGGCCCAGTGGTTCTTGAGAAGAAGATTTTTAAAGATTTTTCCTATATATTTCAATGTAAAATTTGGATTCCCTATTGTGGCCCTGCCCTACCCCCGGGGTTCATGATTTTAACAATTTAGAATCTACACTACCCCAGGATGCTTCCATATAAGTTTTAGCTTTTCTGGCCCAGTGGTTCTTGAGAAGAAGATTTTAAAAGATTTTTCCTATATATTTCAATGTAAAATTTGGATTCCCTATTGTGGCCCTGCCCTACCCTGGGGGTCATGATTTTAACAATTTAGAATCTACACTACCCCAGGATGCTTCCACATAAGTTTCAGCTTTTCTGGCCCAGTGGTTCTTGAGAAGATTTTTTAATGACCCCACCCTTTTTTGTCTTTTCTTGATTATCTCCCCTTGTAAGGGGACTTGGCCCTTTATTTTAACAATTTAAACTCCACTTCACCCAAGGATACTTTGTACAAAGTTTGGTTAAAATTGGCCCAGTGGTTCTTGAGAAGAAGTTGAAAATGTGAAAAGTTTACAGACGGACGGACAAACAGACAGATGGACGGACGGACGACGGACAACGGGTGATCAGAAAAGTTCACTTAAGCTTTCAGCTCAGGTGAGCTAATAAAAACTTGGAATGGCCTTATTTTGGCCCAATGGTTTTCAAAACATGCCACCAAATTTTCATTTATTCTTATTTATCTCCCTTTGAAAGAAGGCATGCCCCTTCATTTGTATAAATTTGAATCCCCTTTACCCAAGGATGCTTTGTGGCAAGTCTGGTTGAAACTGGCCTAGTGGTTTTGGAGAAGAAGTCAAAAATGTGAAAAGTTTACAGACGAACAGACAGCTAGCTAGAGACAGATGATGGTCAAATTGTGATCAGAAAAGCATGTAGCTCAGGTGAAGTAACAAATAGGAAAAAGTACGATCAAAGAAAAATAGTGGGAAAAAGTAGAAACTTTAGAAATCTTGAGTGTATGTTCCAAGGGGTGAAAGTTTTATTGTCACCTCTAGCCATCCCCCAGAGTCTGATTTATGATGTACTAAATACGAAGTATGTACATAGATACGAAGACTGTGCATAGATAGATATATACTCATCATACACACGTTACTGATAGACAGAACGACATACTTAATGCTGCCCCCTAATGAAGTCGATACACTATTAACATTAAGAGGATTGTCTCATCATTGATCAATACCATATAGTTATTTTTTTAAACAAAATATCCAAAGCTGTTGTTTATCACAAAACTTTCATAAAAACAAATTAAATGAAAACAACATATTTCATACTATCATATAAATCTTTATTTTAAAAAATTTGTACTGACATTTTTGTGCATAACAAAATGCACAGAAAGTATAAATGTATATATACATGTACACTGTTTGAATTTGATGGAGTTTCTTGATTTAAGTCAATGATGATTTGGCATTTTGTAAAGTGATGGAGAACACTATGAATTGTGTTTATTTTTAAATGATAAATTATCAGTTATGACTTCATGTGAAAATTGCACTTGACAGGAGTCTTGGCTCAGTAATTCTCCTACATGAGGAACCCCATCACATTCCTCCGTAATATCAGTTCATTATCCTGAATCACATTATTGCAAAAATGAAATTTTCTTAAAACACATGATATTTTCCTCATCTCCATAGAAAAAAAAAGAAGAAAACCCAAGGCAGATCTGGTAAAAAATATTTCATAAACAACCAACGAATAGGACTTAATAAACAATAAAGACTCCAAGAAAAAACAACAAAAAGTCTACAAAATCTCCAGTATTCTTTGTATGGGACTTCAGATGTAGTAAGTTAGGGGGAAATAAAGTAAAATATAAAACCTAATCTAAAGCTAACAGCAATATATCCTAAGTGAGGGGAATAACAATAGAGCTGTGACCCAGATCTGTAAGGATTACTTCTGTATTGTGCACAACATGAGGAAGAACTGTCAATATTTTTTTAGTGAAATTAACAAACTAAAGATTGTTGAAAGTTCTACTTAAATATGATTAAGAGAAGAAATTAATTTTTTAATAATATAAAAAAATATAATCTAAAAACACAGGGACTTGAGACAATCTTAGCAAAATCGGGTATATAGTATAATACAGGAGAAGCTTCTCCCCTATTATACTACATGTATATACCTGATTTTGCTAAGATTGTCTCAAGTTCCTATATCTAAAAATATGTGTATTTTCTTTATCTCCTATTTTTGATTTTTCATTTTACATACAAATAAATGGCTTCAATATGTTGTGCAGAAAGAAATCATGATATGGACATTTGCAGTTGCCATAGTAACAAACAATACAGAAGTGGGAAATTTGCTCCTCTCATCACAGCTTCCCCTCTAATCTCATTCAAACAATGTCTACTGACTAAAGTAATAAAGCATGGGAATTTCTGTATTATGCTAGTATCGCTATTGGTATTTTAACATTTTATAGAAATAAAAAAAGTTCAAAAACAAAAAACAAGAAATACTATAACATACATAGGTATGACAATAAGAAAAAAAAATCAACATACATTTTAAAGTTTTTAACATGATAAACAGATGACAATGTAGCAAAAATATCAAACTATAGAAACAGTACAACCACCATTCTCCATTTTCTAACCATATTCATCAAGGAATATTTCAAGATAATGTGTGAAGTTATAAAGATATGAAATCTTTAACCTTTTTGTATTGGATTTTCTTATTATGTACTTCTTTTGTAGTCTTAATGTTAACAAAGTTAAAAGTTACTGTAGACTTATATAATCACAGTATATATATAAAAAAATAGTACATTTACATAAGAAAATTGAGAGCAGTCAATGAAGATATTTCTCTGTACTCTTTGAATGGAGGTTATAGTAATAATTCTGGTCTACTTTCAGATACTGTCTATACACACTTGGATAAGGAATATAGGTACACATTGCACATGGTCACTTCTTGTCTCTCTGGGAGAACACTGGCATTTGAGGAACAAACATAGGTACACTATTAAATGCTGTGTGATCTCGTTGTAATAATCCATCATAAGCAGCACTAGCTCTTAGCTGGGCCTGGTACAACTGTTGTAATTGTAAGGGGATAGGGAAGTAGCCGGCCTGAGGGAGAGGGACTGTGGGACGCATCATTGGGTGTAGGAATGCTGGGTGGACCATTCCTGGGGGGAGATCGGGCAGACCGTCCTTCATCCTAGGACTGTGAGACTCGGGACCCTGAAAATATGACAATAACATAATTAATGGACATTAACACAACAGGTTTGACAAAGAAATTTATCTTCAATACAGATCTTGAAATTTAAAAACAGACACAAAATTTTAAGACTTTAAAGTATTGCTCAGCTATATATTCCATGTAACTATCTGATCCCTTATTGTGGTTCCATCCTAGCTCCTGGGGCCATAATTTGTAAAAATATGAACATTAACTACATGGAGATTGCTTGCATATTATAACTAATCTTAAAAGATTTCCCTACATTTTCTGTTAAAATTTGTTCCCTATTGTAACAACATCCTAACCCTAGTGACCATAATTTGAATAAACTGAAATCTACATTCATTAAGGAAACTTTCATATGTTTTCTTTTCTAGTCCAGTAGATTTCTAAATAGCTGCATATTCTTTTATATATTTTCCAAATTATCTTCCCTTAAAAGAGGGAGTGGATTTCTTTTTAACACAATTGTATTCCCCTCATCCAAGGATGCTTTGTGACAAATTTAGTTGAAACAGGCCTCGTGATTCATCATTAGAAGTTGAAAATGTGAAAAGTTTACAGACAACACATGAAGGATGACTATAAAGACAGGCTGACATCAGACACTCTTCAATAAGAAAACTCACTTGAGCCTCTGGCTCAGGGAGTTACCATCCCTTCACAATACTGTATTCTATGAAACTTGATTAATGCTAGCATCCAAATATTTATATTTTTTTTTACATAGCTACACTTTTTAAGTATATTCTATATCTATGTATCTAGTTGTCTTTGTGTTTTAGTCTTGGACGAAATACATTTCTCTCACATGTCAGTAAATCTTAACCCATTACCTTGATAGCACTTCTTGACGGTCTAGATTCCTGAGACTTTTCCTCCATTTTAACTGTTTTTGGCCCTTCCTGAGATTGTGAAGAGGATGACGGTATTTTACTTAAATCCACCATATTGCTATTTGGGTAAACAGCAGGACTGAACACAGAGGATGGTCGTTTATTGAACACACTGTGGGGAATATCAAGAGGATGTTCCAATCCTGCTGGACAAGTCTGGACCCGGTGTAGACTCTGAGCAGGAGATCTCTCCCGCTTGACCAGACATCCTGGGGTTTCTCTAGTTAAACCGGGAGTACTGTTTCTCTCATTGGTCTCTGAATTCTCTTTCTTCTTCAGAGTTTTCATACTTAAGTCAGTTGGCTCATCAGAGCAGTCTATTTTATTACTGTTAACTATGTCCAGTTTTTGACGTTTGGTACTTTCAAAGTCAAATAATAATGACTTGTTGGCAAAAGATGACCCTGAAGCATTAGGAACATGGAGCTGATTTGATGAGTAGGGTCTTTTCAGTCCATTAGAGTGAGCAGGAGGCACCATGAGTGTATGGGGGGAAGACCCACCAGAAGAACAGGGGGATGTACTTGTTGGCTGTCGACTCTGAGTATGCGTGGGCATGAGTGGGTCGAGGGACTGAGATGATGAATGGCCCGAGTGTTTGGATGAGGCATGAACTGGTCTGCTTTCTAGAGATGATGTTTTTTGTGAATTTCTGAGAATATTTGGACGAAATGAATGCTGCTTATCAGAAGAGGCTGGAGCTAATGATGGATGATTATAAAACCTTGGCATTCCCATGGGTAACTGATTCATGATAGGCAGGCCCATATGATGGATTCCACCAAGGGGTATAAATGTCTGTGGGTAAAACATAGCTGCCTGATGTACCGGTATGTTAGGGACTCCTCGTTCCATGGCCTTAGAGTGACTCAAGCTAGCACTAGATGATCCTTGCACCGAGTTTTGTTGGAAGAGTTTTGATTGGCTGAACACATTGGAGTTGGATTCACTATCTAGCTCACTTTCTTTTTCCTCCTTGATTTTGACTGAGCCTTCAGTCCTATCCCCTGGGGGGTCTGTTGTCTCCTCTCTACTTAGAGACTCCGTCTTGATGCTGGAGGATGTAATGGCCTGTGTCTTTTCTTTCTCTGAGCTGTCCAGCAAATTCTTTACTGTTCTTGGCCTGCCTGGTTTTCTCCCCTGTAATGTTAAATGTTTAGTTAATCTCAACAATATAACCTTTTTATGGTTACTATTCACACACACAATATTCTAAAATTCTTAGGAAGTCCACTGTCTATATAAAATACACTGATTAGAGTTTGAAATCAGTCTCAGAAAATGAAACATAAGTTCTATGTAATCTATACAAAAATCATAAAGCACCAAAGAGGGGTTTTTAAAAAGTTGTATAATTTCATTGTTAAGAATTTCAATACTGTAACAATGTTAAGCAATTTAAGAAATATGAGGGCTGAAACCTACTTTGATGGTTTTTTGCCTCTCCTTAAGCTTTCGGATTTGTTCCCACTGCTCTGCCCTTTGTCTGAGCGTCAGAGTGGTTTTAAATCTCTGTTAGTATAAAGAAACCAGCACTCACCAAGCATGCAAACAGAAAGCACTGACAAGTTAACCTCAGTCCAAATAGTGCAGACAGACCTCAGTCTAAATATAGCAGACAGGGTAACCTCAGTCTAAATATAGCAGATGGGGTAACCTCAGTCTAAATATAGCAGATGAGGTGACCTCAGTCTAAATATAGCAGACAGGGTAACCTCAGTCCAAACAATGTAGACAGGGTAACAGTCTTGTCTCATGATCAAGTTAACATTGTACAAGGGATCAGGAAACAAGACTATCCAGGTAACCTCAGTCCAAATATCGCAGAGAGGTAACCTTATTCCAAACATAGCAGAAAGGTAACCTCTGTGTGAAATACTGTAGACAGGGTAACCACAGTTCAAATATAGCTGACTGAGTAACCTCAATCCAAAACTAGCAGACAGGGTTAACTCAGTCCAAAAAATAGCAGACAGGGTAACCTCAGTCCAAATAAAGCAGATAAGGTAACCTTAGTTTAAATGTAGCAGAAAGTGTTACCTTAGTCCAAATAGGGAGTGTAACCTCAGGCCAAATAAAAAAATATGTGTGGTTCCGGTTACCCAACCTTTCCTATTTTATATCCCCGACCCTAAACTTTTTTTGGCAATTTTCATATTTTTTCCAGAATTTTCACCGATTTCCATCAATGGCTCAAGTTTAAGTTTTAGTTTCAGCAATGACGGCCTCCTTGCAAAACATAGTGCTAGTGTTTGATAGTGTTAAATCCAAAGCAAGTTAGCATGTAGGTGTCCCCTACCAATATTGACTAGTATATTATCACACCACATTTAAATGCCATTTGCAAAGCAGTGATAGGTATTATTTAGAAAAATTAAGAAAATAATTTAAAAAAAAAAAAATCCCTATCTACCTACCCTAATTTTTTTGGAAGTGTAACCGGAACCACACATATTTTTTCGTTTGGCCTCATTATAAATATATCAACCAAGTATTGCAGACATGATAAACTAAATTCTAGCTAATTTGCCAGTAAAAAGTATCAGACCAAGCTTAAAAAAATTCTTTTGTTTACAGTTGCTGAACCACAATTTTTAGATTTGGATAGGTAGGGTTTTTCTCTGAGAGAAAAGAAATCAATTTTATTTATTTATTTTTTTTGGTTTCGCTTTTACTGGATTACAAATGAGGGATTTTTATGAGGTAATCAAAAAAGTTTATGAACCTGTACAATAAACATAATTTAGGCATCTAATTAATACACATAGAAATAAAACTCTGAAATAAAAAATGAAAAAGTATTTTGATATCTGGAAAAAACTTCCATCTCAATAAATAGCCGCCAAAAAATTGGTCAGGTGCATTTTACGTGGGTCAGTAGGCAACTACAAACAAACAATATTTTATGCCTCACTGAATTAGGATCATCTGGAAAAATTATTAGTTTATTCCTGCCAAAGATAACTGAATATTGATAAATTTTATTCTAATCTTGACTGTTTTATATGCCACAGTGCTTTTTTGAGCTTTGACAGGATGGTGATACAATATCAAAAAAAAATTGGTTTATTAAGATTGAGTTAACTGTAATTTGTTATTGATTTATTTCAACAAGATTTACAATTGAAAAATTTGAAAAAATATATTTAGTAGCTGCATACCCTTTCATGCAAATACATTAAAGGAGGAAAGGGAAGAGAACAGGGAAAGAAACAGAAGACAAGAAAACAGAAATTCTCCCAGAATGCATTTTTACACATTAAATTTTACAACACTGAGAGAAGGTGAGAACACACTGTATGTGACATGACAGGAATTTCCTTAACTGATTTTTCAGTGACCAGTAGAGATGTGACCTACCCTCCTAGGTTTGACCTGGCCTTCCTCTGTTGGGGTCTTACAAGAGTTATCCTCCCTGTCTTTACTCTCCAGTTCCTCTTTAGGTGGTTTGGTCTGTTTCTTCTCAATATTACGACCTTTGTCATAACGCTCATAGGGCAACAGTAACCTGTTAAAGACAATATAATTAGGATGGCACTCATTGATTTATTGGTCATAATGTGAAGCTTATTGTCATCAGTCTGTTATGGTGAAATCATTTTGGCTGTAATTAAGTTTACCTTTTATGAACAAAAAATTGATCAGGCGACTGACATAGTTGATCACTTGAATTCAAGGCACTGGTTGAAACTGATCAGGAATTATCAATTATGTAATTTCACTTACTTAATAAATCAAATGACTTAGAATTTTGAAAATCTTCAAGAGGAAATTCTTTTGCATGCAATCAGAGAAAATCCCCCAAACTAACATATTTTTCATACTGAACCATAAATCATAGGAACCATTTGACATTTTAAACAATGATTTGGTTAGATCAGCTTACAATAATATTGATAATAGGGGTACAACCTGTCTAAGCACCTTAACACACACAAATCAAGTAAACAATGTAGGATGTCTTCATTTGCTGTAAAACTGCTTTAATTTAATTAGAATTTGTTCAGTATTTGTCATTTTATTTCTAAATGCTAAAATTTTGAATAACAGTTGAATTTGAAATTTGAAACTCTTAATCCCTAAAAATTGCATGTGCCCTATCTTTCCTTGACACAGATATATACTTGTCCAGCACAACTAAACAACTGCTGTTATTACCGACATACATTATATATATACCCCCAATGTATAGTAGAATTATATACCGGTGCTGTAGTCTTACATTTTTTCATGTGTGATTAATTTATGCTATGTACATGGTCACAAATTTCTATGGAAAATTGTCACTTCATAGTTTGAGTGTATTTAAAACAAACCATGACACTCCAAGAAATCCACATCATTTTCTATGTAGATTGAACAGAAATTGTGATTCCATGGAATTATGGTCATCTTAAGATAAAAAGACTTTCAAATCAAAATTCTAAAAATTGCCTTTGCATTGATTTCATATTATTTTATAGGTAGTATTTGATTTAAAATGAGTTCTATGTATACTTTTTGTTAAAGGCTTGCTAAAAATCTAAATTTTGCTTTGCAATATTTCCACATTTATAGGTATAATTTGAAATTATATAGGTTCTAAAGAAAAACATAATGCATTTTGTAATAGATTAATCCAAAATATGAATTTACAAATGAGTCTAAGAATACTGAAATTAATTACAAATGTATATTTTGAATTTAAAAAAATTAACACTTGTTAAGCCTTAAAAATATTTTTTAAAAAAACTTACTTTATAACATCCCTGTAGGTGCAGGATTTAAACAACTATTTCTACAAAACGAGTATTTCCTGCCCCTTTCCTGACTAGTTTAATTCCTTTTTAAACAGACCACACGTAGTGCCTATGATGATTTATTTCTAATAGGATATACATATATATATTTTTTTTTATATTGAGGAAAAAAAAAGAGTTCATCTAGCATCCCCGAGTCAAGAGCAGATGTTATTTTGGGGGACATTAACTATTTTCACATAAGGAAAATATATTTTGAATGAAATGAAAATTAATCTGAAAAAATACTTGTATTCTAGTACATAGTGTAATATCAAATAAATGAATTTGCTGTATCTTTAAACACTGAATATGGTTCAACAGATTTAAAGTACCAATGTATAAATTGCTGGACACTAACTATAAACCATCTTGGTATCCAGACCAGTGGCTATACACATGAATGCTATGTTACCTTCTGTATATATATGAGAAAGTTTTTTTTGAAGAGTGATTAGGCAGCAGCATTGTCTGGACATATCTCAATATTAATTGTATATCACATAGAGTGTAAGGACTACGACTTCAGAACCTGTGACCTACTTTTCATAATGTCGGCGTGTACAGGTGGCAGCACTGGTACTTCCTGGATTTCCACCAAGCTTGTCATAAAGGTGTTTCCATAACCTCCTCTGTGTCACCTACAATAAGAGGAACATAAAATGTACCTTAACTGTGATGGGAAATTGGTATGCCTAGGTAATCGAAATTCCCATCTCTTAAACAAATGATTTATAATACCTATAAATATGCAGAATTATATGATAAAATTAAAATGCACTCCACCCCCTCCCAAATGAAAATGAATCCTTATCTGAAATTGGATAAAAACATGATATAAATTTTTTTCAAGCTGATATTTCTTGTGATAACTAAACCTTGCATTTAGTCTTCAACTGTCAGGAAATATTTTGTCAATATAATCTAACTGTTCTTGATTGATAATGTTATCTCACCATTTCATATCCTCCCAGTTTCTGTGCATAACTGTAGAAAAAGTACAGGTCCACTGAAATAGAATCCAAAGTAAATATAAACGACATCCAAGCAAAGGGAAATAACCCTACATACATAAATATTCCAAATAAATTTCTCCAATAGTCCATTTGATAAGCATTCAAAAACATTTGTGTATGTGTAGTGCTGATATACTTTAGGTATCACACTTAGCGCAAAATAGGCTTCCCTGAGATTTTAAATCCCAGCATAGCTTTTTTTATGATGGGATGTGAGGGTGGGTTAATTATTAGTGCAGGTCTTATCCAGGATGTAATAAGCATACACTCTGTGTACATGTAAGTGTTAAGCTTCTTCACCTTGTTTGAATCCAAGTGATGGGATACGACAAATGGGGGTGTTTCTCTTCTTCATGAAGCGGTGAAGATTAAACAGAAATTCTTGTTCTTCTGTGCTAACTTGACTGTTGTCAAACTTTAAACCATTCCTTAGAGCTGATTCTCGCTTTCCAGTCTGAAAAAAAAATATACTTGTGACTTGGGCACTCTCAACAGAGTCTCAATGGTGTGTGTGTTTAAATTTAAGTCTATAGTAAACTTAAGTAAACATTAGTCATCAAACTCTTCATGACCTCATAGTAGAAAAGTGTTTATTTCATTGAGTTCACTGTACATGTATAACTGTATAAAACAAGTCATCACCTCTTCTACTTACATGTATCTGAGGAGCATTGTTTACTATTTATTTTACATTGCAGACATACCAAAGAAATAAGTTCTACTGAAGACAACCACTAGCCATCAACAATTATTTTTTTAGGAAGAAGAAAAAAAAATCCACTTTTTGAAGTACATGTATCTTTTAAATAGAACCTCTAGTGGAACATATGAGGGACCTGACACTACTGGACAGTGGTTCAGCAACAGAATTCCAAGTTTGGAAACCCTGGTATCTGATTGTCCCTATACAGAGCTATTAATAGATAGTAAATAGATGAATCTCCTGTAGATGATGTAGATACCACTTCTTTATTCCTGTCACTCATGTGACAATGCTGTGGACGATGCAAGGGAAATATTTACAAGGAACATGAACTACAAGTCTGAGTTTACTTTCTACTCTGTCTTATCTATTGCACACTGGACAATCTACTTCAATATCAATGCATTTATATTAGGGACACCACAAAAATTACAGCATATTCACTTTCTAGGCATATCAATGTATGAGATTTGGTATTTTCTGGATAATTAACAAAATAATTCAATCAATATCCTTATTATTTCCTTGCTTCCCTATGAAAAGTTCAACACAGATATTTCCTTGTCAATAAATACTCTTAAATTTGACAATTTTATTGAAAAAAAAACAACAAATATTTAAATATATATCTTAACATGCACTTTTGATCAGAAAAATATTACTATCAGTATGCAAAATGTCAGCGCTCTTTGTGATAATACACTTCCGCAACTTTTCCCAGCAAAATGATTATAACTGACTTCCTTGCACTTGAAAACTGTTTGAAGCAGACTGTGCTTTATACATAAGTTATAAACACTTTGTAAATTATAGCTGTATGAATATGTCTTGTCTTTACTACTAAAAATGTATTCACTCCAATAAGTATCCAATGGTGCATAGAAAATGAGAATTTATCTTCTTTTTATGATTAGATGGGTTACTATTATTCTGTTTTTGTTTTTTTGACATTTAATTTTTAATCAGACCCCACCACTTACCAAGACAAATTTTTTGCAGCCAGGCGTGGAGACATCTGATGACGTCTCGTAACTGTCCGAGTCACTGCGTGTCAGGGATTTCTTCTTTCTTGGTCTTCCTTTCAGTGAAGGAGCTAAATAAAATACATTAATGACTTATTTTAGATAAATATATATGATACAACAACAAAAAAAGTGTGTCTTATTTTATAAAATCTTTCTGTAGGTATCTTTACTATTTAAAAAGATCCATGTATTTACTATTAAAAGACAAAGTAATTTACTGAAATCACCATCATCTTTTAACACATTTCTTTAATGGCATACAGACTTGATTATATCAATCAAAATGAATCAGGACTGAGCATCATGACTGCTTTCAAAAAATCTTCACCTAGATGATCACATCTGATCTCCAGATCATCCAGTTCAGGGACATCCACCATGTTTTTACAGAACATAATTCTGGCATTCTTGTTCTTCGTCACAATTCCACCAATGGCACAAATAATGGCATTTCTTAGCCACTTGTCTACCATGTTCTCAAGCCTTTTTAGGACGGTCCTGTACCTACAGTACTGAGCGAAACTGAGGATCGTAAGAGGAGTTGAGGTGAGATCTCCTTTATAGCCTTAAAAACATTAGAAAAAGAATTATTCCGTATTAGATGCACTTCAATATACTCTAGAAATTGCTACTGTTAACTGAGCAGTTCAAGTTCAATCTTATATTTGTTTAAATGTATAATTGAAAAAAGAAATCCTTGCATATAATTCATCCATTCCATCTTTATACCATAAATTCTATTCTTCTGTCACTATTGTTGACAATATGTTGTTAATATATAATAACCCACAAAAAGTGCAAACTAAAAATCAAGTTTAAACAAGGTTGATAATTCCATGTATTCAGAATCTAGGAAAAAAATGAAGGTGTGTAAAACAGTGACCTTGACCTTGTTAAAGAACTACATGTCAAGGTAATCTGAACATTATGAAAATCATTGGAGACATTTTCTTTTAGGCATTCTTTCTTTTAAAGCTTGATATGACTCAAGAATATATTTTTTAAATAAGAAAAAATGAACACAGTTATTGTAATCCATAGGCAGTGTTGTCTCTGTGGGACTTTGTAGAACTTCTTAGCTAGCCAATGGGAAGGCAAGAGAGGATTAAATGTCATTCCCATCTATTGATTTACACAAAAGATGCTTAAACAATGTAACTAATCTATATATAATGAAGGATAGCATGGAACATCTCTTTTTCTGGTAATATCGAATTAAATTTGTCTGTTTTAACTGGCAGAAGAATAAGTACATGTACTATGTACATTCACATTATGTCTTATTGGCTTTTCCATGCTAGTTAATTATAAAAACAAAAAGAAAACATAACCTATAGATTGGTTATCATTAAATGTGATAATGAAGAAATCTTTCAGCAAGCTCAAATATTAAATAACCAAATGATAAATGAAACTAATTCATTCTTATGTGTATATTCATTGTCCAATAAAACAAAGCATTTACAGCTGGTGATAATAATTTTAATAAAGAAACCCTTACTACATGTATATGTATCCAAAGTTACCTATTTCCTCCTTTTCTTTCTCTACATCAGAGAAGTTTAGTCCCTTTTTGTTGCAGACAAAAATGTTTCTGAATTCCTCTCCCTTAGCCTCTAAGTCTTCCTCCTGATACAGAGGCCGTCCAAAGGTCCATGTCACATTCTCCATTAAGAGCGGCACCAGGTCACTCGCCTTAAGAATCAGCTTCTCTGACATCCCCAGAATCTCGTCCTGCTCAGAATCAAAATATATACATTGTCATTTTAAAAAATGGTAAAATACAGATAAGTTAAACTTGATGTCACTCTTTCAAGTGTTATAATTCCCTACTTTATGAAATCTATTGACAGAGGTTCATTTTTGGTAGTTTTAAGATATTCACCTTCATCATGTTCATGGATTAACTCCCTCCCCATTTAAAAAAACTTTATTAGCTATTATAGCTAAAAGGATCAGATCAAACCAATGTAGGGCTGCATACAAGATCATAGATAATCTATCCTAGCAGCTAGGAATACTGGACACAATGTACAAATCAACGCTAATTGTTAGACCTACATAACAGCTAGGCCAGCATATTGTTCTTTAGATTAGCTCAGTGTTGACCTATGTAGCCTCTATAATCTTGAATGCAGGTCACGCAAGGAGACACAATTAGCAAAATCAAAAGTGATATCAAGATTTGAACCATCTACCTTCTTCTTGTCAGTCTAACCACTAATTAGATCACTGAGCAAATCAATCAAATCTTCCCTCCTTCACCCACAATCTGTATTTATATAGGAGATTAAAGCATATCGTGTAAAAACTAAATATTGATAAAATTGATGAACAATTATTAAAACATTTATAAGCAGAAATCTCAAGGTAAAAAATAACATCTTCCCAATTCTGAGTTCAGTAGAAGTTTATTTTTAGAAGAGCTACTAGAATTGCAATCAATAGTTAATATGAGGCAAGGAAAACAAAGTCTCCCTTTAAATCTTTATAACAAAGATACAAGAATGTGACGTAAACCTAGGTGGTGTTTAATTACATGTACAACACTTAAAACAGCAACACATCTCTTAAAAAAAATTCTGATGTGGATATTTTGCTCTTTGTGCCATTGCTTCACGTGTCTTAATTATTATACATTTAATATTGATCATTACTAGCAATAAAATATATCCCCTAGTTGTTATGTATATTACTAGAATAGACTATACAATTTTGAGATAAGCATCAAATTGATTTTTTTTTTTTGTAGTAAAGAATATCTGCACAGTGGACTTGAGAGGAAACTTCATAATTAACCTGGTATATGGTACAAACGAACTTTTTCAATTTTCAAAATAAAAAAAAAACATTAATTTTTTTTTTCACAAAATGTTCAGACTGTAACTTAAATTTAATTGTAATATGTGACATTGTCCACAAATAGAATATTCCTATACATGCTTCATCTTATTGATTATTAACATATTCTTGTATACTATTACTGTATATTAGCCAATATACCTTAGCACTAATTAATTTTGCACAAATATGTAATTTACATTTTGTTGGAATTTCACGTAGGGAGATTGCAAATTCAGGTTTTAGAACTTATACACAATCCCACTGCATATAATTATTTATTTCAATAAAATATGTTCATATCAAATAAGATAGAGGAAAACATTTCAAGAAAAACAGTATGTATATTTCAGAACATCTGTAAAATGAATTCTGAAATACATCAATTTATTTCTACATGTAGTTATAATGTGCATTTAATCTCATTTTCAAGAAAACTTTAAAAATTGGGGGTTTTTTTTGTTGTTGTTTTTTTAATTACTATTATTGGAGAAAAAGTACATGTATTAACGTATATCTTTCTTTCAAATCTAATAGTAATTCATAATTCAAAGACTTAGTTCCCCTTAATCAATTCAGTCATAACATTTCTTTTGCAAAACAAAGCTTAAATTACTGAATCCACATAGGTAAACATGCATCAATTATAACAGTTATGTTTTGGTTAACTTTCACCAGATATAAAGACTTCAAGAGTGGCCAATGGTTTTTATCTAACTGATGACAACTGAGAACAACAGACTGTCAAACATTGATCTGTTTATCAAAATTACAGAATCTGATGACGTAATGAAATGCTGATAACGATGTTAAAGAACTGCATGTGTAGAAAATTTTTGTTCTCTCTAAAGGATCTTCTTCCTGCAAAATTAACATTTCATTCAAAGTCATTCTCTTAATAATGGTAATTATATATATATATATATTTTTAGATAATGTATATGGCCTACCAGTATACTAAAATAAAAATTTTGAAAACATGGTGGGTTGGGGTGGGGATGGGTGTCCATTTTTAAAACTCCCCATAAAAACATTGACAGCTTAAAAGGTATATTCAGGTACTAAAAAAAGACTTCATTCTATAATTATATACTGTAGTAACAATGTGTTTGAAATTGTGAGCTGACAAAAATTCTGAAATTGCTTTGAGTTAATACTAAAAGTAAAAAAATGATTATATAAATTATGCCATTTGATAGTTCAATTGCATTTTTTCAGAAATGCTGCATGATTATATTAAAAAATGTCTTGCATCTAAAATATTTATATTTCTAAATTGCATAACACCATAAAAAAGTTATGGCAAATTTCCAAAAAACATGTTTATAAAGTACAAATTGGCCTTTTCTCAATGAATAAAAACTTCACAACAAATGTAATTTCTTTTCCCATTAAAATACTGCAAGGAGAACTAACATCCTATCTGAATTGTGTATAACAGAGGCCAGCAGATACACACATGTGACTCGCTTATAACAAATGAATCATATGTCTGCAGTAGTTTAAAGTATCAAATCATTGACATTATACATCAGCTACTCAGCTCCAAAATGTCAGTAGGTTTAAATTAATATCATTTGCTGCTTAATATTACACTGAGCTCTGCATATAAATATATTTTTTGACATTAATTAAATGAGTTAAGGATTATGATAGTCATAAACAAAATGTATAAAAATAAATCAAATGTATACATAATAATTAATAAAAAAAATGTACCTAAAAAATTCAAAATTCTGTGTATACATTAAATTTCATTTAACTTATGTAATTGTTAGCTTAATTTTTTATCATGGTATTTTTTTTCCATGATTAATTTATCGTATTCATTGCAAACTATCGGTGTAAGATTTAAATAAATCTGTGTCTCTTTAAATCAAATGGCGGAACAACAGTTAAATAGTGTGTATAGATCCAGCACAATGCTCCCTCCAAATGTTACTAGAGAGAATAGAATTTTCCAATATCGCTGAAAAGTAACATTAAATCCTCTCAGTGTTCTAGTACACAGGTGAAAAAGGAAAGGGACCACAGCTAGTCACTCAGGCATGACCATGTAATAACCATACCATTCACTCAAAATGTTCAAGGCCTGCATTTTATCAAAACTTATTTTTTATCCCCCAAAAACATTGTGAATTTAAATATTAATCAATACATTTACATTCATTATTTTGATGTAAGGCTTTATATTTTTGTATTTATTACAAATTGTCCCCGAGGAATGAGTCACTGTGTTTATTATTAAATTCAAAAGTATGAGATCCGTTAAACATTTGACAATTTTGTGTAGATGATTAAATAGTCACAGGTTATCTATAATCCTGTGCTTGTTTGTCTAATCAATATAGAACAAGCAGTCTTACAGGCCCGCTACATAATTCATAGCTGTCTGTCACACACACTCAACTCAAAACTATGTCAATTACAAATATTGGAGAAATAAACATAGCAAAACATGTACACATATCATCTTTTATATTTCCTATCCCTTTTTAATTATGTATTAATTCCTGTTCATATTTGTTTTGTTTTGTTTTTTTTTTTATATTTAATGATTCTTAATGTCTGATTTTTTTTTTTAAAACCTTGCACAATTATCTTTAAAATGACATATATTTTCTTGAAATAAAATTGCATTGAAAATAAAGTATTTGAATATAAGCTGAACAGCAGATAGTTAAAATATTTTATACATTTATACAAATTCTGTGTGAAACAATTGAATATTTCTCATGTGCTGACTCCTACTTTAAGGAATATTTCGGAAATGCACTTTATGATATCAGGATATTAAAAATTCTAAACACTTGAGTGGAGATTTAAGTCTGTCAGACTAACAAAGGCTTTGTAATGGAGTAACACAACAAAAATTTTATCCTAACTTGAAATACCAGTTGAATAGATCACATTTAAATGTACCCTCTTTTTTTGTATTGAACCGAAAATTTAAAAGTCCCAATAAATAACATCAAAGTTGTAATCAGTATTACAAGCCATCATAAGAAAACTATAAAACTATTGTTTAAATTAAGCAAATGTTAAATATTGCAAAATCCTTTATTTTTTAATGTCATTTGACATGTTAGTTAGATGTAGAGAATTTATTGTCAGTGATGGAAGCCAGTGTGTGTAACTTGACACCCTTCACTTAATTAACATAGCCTGCCTAGGGTCTGATTCTGATAACATATTCTCAGCAATATCTCTACACAACCAATATATAATGGCTTATTCATATCCTAGGTCCATGCAACTAAAATAAAAGATTTTTCTTTCAATAGAGGAAAAATGCATTACTGAAATAACACGGAAAAGATGATATAATTTTTTTTAATTAAGTAAACTTGCAACATGTTAGTTGCCCTTCAACAACATAATCTTATGTAAACAAAATTATCTACATATGTTGTATAAGAGGCACCCCGAGGGGTAAAAATCCAATAACAATCATTTGTAATGAAATAATTTAAAACAACATAAATACACTCCGACATTTTCACTGCAAATTTTTAGGAATGAAATTTACTATTTGGACTTGTGCCAAACATCAGATTTTAAATGAAGCCAGCATGCACAAGATTTGCTTGAAGTAAGAAACCCTTCTGGGTACCTCAGTATTCAAAGCCAGTGTGCTTGAGTCAACAAACTAATCTAGCACAAAGCAATTTACTTGACCCCAGAGGAATATCATTAAAAGATATTTAAATTACACACAGTCCTTTACTGTGAAGATAAAATCATTTTAAAACCATACAAATTATCTTCCTAAATATAAATAATTTAATTAAATAACAAATACTTTTTATTTTAATTTTTACAATTTCACATTATGTATGTGATTTCATTTCCCAGCCGACTTCCAATAAAAATCAATGGATATTACCAAGACATATTTTCAATGCCACTGAATATTAGCATTCAGGAATATCAAATTGATTTATAATGGTTAATGTTGCAATGCTTTAAATTCTTTTTATTTCAATTGCATTATGTAGTTAAATATAATGACATGAGATTTTATTTGTAAGGCTAGAGGAAATTAATACCATATGCTGTGTAAGTCTCCAATCTAGATATAAATCCATTAAGTTTCTGTCTATTTATATGTTTGCTTTGCAATGTGTGTGTATGTGTGTGAAAATCTATAAGATCTGCAGGGAAGATGAACATCAATATAACATCACAGAATTCATTATGAATAAAGAAAAACCATCCGCTGTAATTAAGAATCTCTGCTTGTGCAATCATTCTTAAAGTCTTATTGATTTTACCATTTGGAATAATTTAATACTGTAACAACATCAGAATATATGATTTGTTATTTAATGAAAGAGAACAAAAGTCACTATTTGACATTTATTGTATGTGAAAAACAATTAATTGGGGTACCATGAAGGGTATTCTTTTTCAATTAATTCTAAAGTCAACAAAATTTCAGTCAATTTAAAACTATCATTGTTTTCAACCATGCAATTTATTTTTAATTAGTTTGAGAAATTAGAATCAAAATCATCCAGGTGTGAAAAAAGGTGTTTAATTTTCCCTGTCATTATCCCCCTGGTATAATAATCGCTTATATCAGAGATGTGCTAATCGTTCAACTGGAAAGAATTCTATTCACAAACAAGTTTTATAGCATGATTTCTTCCTGTTCAAATTGTCAATTTCTGATAAAAAATTTCAAGTGTGAAAAATGAGCTGTAAACATGAAAGATAAAGAAATAACATTAAAATAGGAAAAGAAACATAAGAAATATTTCTCTTGCTTTAATAAGATTACTTAAAAAAATCAATTAATTAATTACCTCTCCATGCTGCTCTTCCCTACCAGCATCGGTGTGCTCAGGCAATAAATAAAGTCGTACGTTGCAGATTAACTGATTTTCATCTTGCTTGTTTGTCCATATCATCTGCAGTTCCCCCACGCATACATCTCTCAATTTTGTTATTTTAATGTAGAAAAATTCTCCCAAGCTCAAAATTCTGTATTGACCATTTTTTGAAAATTTAATTGCTTTATAAAATGTGTTTGAAGCATGTTCTCCGATTACAGACCCACATTTCTGAAAGGAAGACATTTATTCTCAATGAAATATCTACAAAGCAGCTCAAATCACTGATAAATTTCGAGCCCCACATCTAGGTCACTCGATAAATATCCCCAATAAAATTTCTTTAAATTCAAAGAAAAATATCAACAAATTCGCAATTCTCCGTCTCAAATCCTGAAACATATATTTTACAACTTACCTCTACATTTTGTTCATCCATTTTACGATGAAAATACCCTTTTCATTGCTCCGATAGCATGGCATGCAACACACTAACAATACTTTATATTTAGGACCTAATTAGTGACGTCACACACCGGCAGAAGTTGAAGTCGATTAGCATAATTTATTCATAATATCAGCCACGTCACGAAAAAATACTAAAATTCATATAAAAAATGATTCAATTTCAAAATTACTTTAATAGAAAAATTAAGTAAATCATACTCAAAAAATAATATCTTGTTTGGAATGAATTTTTACTTGTTTTAAATGTGAAATTGAGAGGTGTATAAAAATTATTTTGGCAATGGCGGCTTTGTTGACGGAAGTAGTATGTGTGTGAGGAAAGGAAGCACGAGGTCACATGACAATGGCAGGAATACTTGAATGGACTCCGGGCTGGAGGTGGTGAAATAATTATAGCAAACAATTACTGTCAGATGGAATATTTAAAAGTAGACGAACAGGTAAAAAAAAAGGAGAGAGAGATACAAACAAATATATGTATGTGTGCTTATTGCCTGAATTTTTTGCAGTTATTTTAAAAGAAGAAAAGTCCGCCAGACTGACTTCTACTTTCACTTTCCATTTGTTCATTTTAGTCAACTATAACACATATTTTATGACATTGGTTTACACAGTATTTTGTTACATTTTTAACATAAGCAATATTTTTATAAGTTTTAATTGACGTATCAATAGAGTAAGTTTCTAAAAGGTCCACATGCCTCGACTTATCGGACTACTTTTTTAATTTTATGGCATGTGCATAAAGGTACTGTTAGGACAGTTAGGTGCTAGGTGGCCATACAATTACATTTAACTGCAGACTTTTACAGTGGCGTAGCTAGCAAAAAAATTACTGTATTCAAAAAAGGCAAGGGGCCTGAGAGCCGCCTTGAGGCTCCCATCAGGTCCCTGGTGGGGACACAGGGGCGAAGCCCCAGGAAGCTCATGGAATTTAAGGGTTTAAAATCAGAAAATTGCCTTAAAATACTTTATTATTTACCACCGTTGTTCTAGTAAATATTAACATAAAAAAATATCAAAAAATTGATGAGTTTTGACAATACTTACAGCTCCACAAAATCCCTTTCTTCAAAAGCATTTCTTGTTATCATGAATAAAGACATTGATAAAAAAGTCTATATATTTAAATTCATAGCAATTAATATTGTTTTTAATTTTATTAAAGAAAGATGTAGCTATTATATGGACCAAAAGAAAACCAAAGAAATGTAATAAACAGAAAAATCAATGTTTTGGTAGTTGTTAAAGAATTTATTTCACAAGTAAGTCAGTTCTTTTATAACCATAAATGCGAAATAAATTATATATGCAACTACAAAAAATTGAATACTCTTCATTTAAAATGCTAATACATTTTAATTATCAATTTTTTAAAGAAATTATAGTACTAGTAAAAGGCAGTAAATCCAGTTGGGTTTTAAAATTATTAGGGGAATTAGTAAATAGCATATTTGCTTTGAATTGACAATACATGTATAATGAAATTCATCCTTGAAATTCTAAAACCATTACATGATGCAAGAAGTACACTGCATCAAAGATCTTATAAAAAAGATGGAAATATGATTCACACGTAGGGATAAAATAGATCTAGACGTTTTTGACATTTATTACCTTTTTACTTTTGATCTATTATTGAACTTTGGTTAAATTATCCTAGATATAAGCTTTGTGATGTAATGTAAATATCTGTCGGTCTTTCCAGTGTTGCAGTGTGAGGTGTATATATACAAAATGCTTTTTGTTACATTTAGAAGCTTATTGAAGTACTGAATAAATTCTTTATTCACATTACCTATCCCTAAATGATACACTGTAATTACATGTAAGGTTTGTAATGACTGTTCACTGATGATGAAACAATAAATTGTTGATGGTCAATTGTCAATCTTTAAACAGTAAAATGCTTTGTTTGTTAATGCTAGTGTTGCAAAATCTGACCAAATCTACTATCAATTATAAAATTGAATCAGTAGCATACTATCGATTATATGATCGATAGTTTGAACTCTAAATTAAAGACGTACAACACACTGGGGGAGATAATTCTTGCGATTTCAATTTAATGTTTAACTTGACGTCAAATTTGACATTTATAATAAAGCGTCAAAATGATGAACGAATCGATCCCGACGTAATTATATGAAAATGGGATTAGGGGCTTGATGTGGTTTCTTTAGAAATACCAAATCGTATCCTTGATTATTTGCGCTTTTGATTTAAAACCTGTCCCTCCTCCATGAAAAGGGAAGAAAAGAAAGGTTATGTCTTAAATTTCTTTAATTTTACATGAAACTCGTATCCATGATCAATATTAGCACAACAATATTCTTTTTAAGATACATCGCTTTCTTTTGTTACAGTTGGCTATGTAACATTTGCATTACCAGATCACGGGCCTATCTTCAAATTAAGAATTAGCCATATAAATACTTTTTGTTCTCCTTTTAAGAAAAAAAATGTTTTACAACCCGTTTCCAAACGTTCACCAATCAAAGAGGAACAACTCTAAAAATGTGGGAGATTTTCCCCCTCCCCTAGTTGAGTTATTTCCTCCTGTTTGTCGAACAGTTATGAAGACACAATGAATTCTGATGAACGCAGGAACTGAAAACTATAATATATAATAAGTAAGTACCGAAAATGTAACAGAATTGTTTACTGAAATGGCCCGAATTTACAAATATCATATATGCGACAAACTGGCCCTATCCGACTATCTAGATATACCACTGTCAACAATTTCAGTGCACATTTCCTTGAATCAAAACAAAACATTTTATACATGTACCACTGTACATGAATATTTTAACACATGAATAATTTAAACATAGATGCAGAAGGATGCATACAAGGGGGGGGGGGTTACTTTTAGACCCCTCTCTTGTTTGAAATAAATAAGAAACAATATATTCCATTTACCAGCCTGTTTACATAATAGAAGAGTTGAATTTTCAACATTGTGCGTTCACTTTTAATGAAAAATAAGATTAAAATTCAATGTAAGGTATAAAATTAAATGCATGTCAGCCATGTGATCATGTCTCAAGCCACGGTCCAGAGTCCGCATATAGCTCCCTCCTCGTACATTTTGGCCGTGGATTGCGACGATGCCATTTGATGAATTACATATTGGACATGTTGACATAAAATCCTTAGAGAATAAGTTTTACTTTTATTCTAGTAGTTGATAGTTTAACTCTTATTCTAGTTGTCAGAATTTAAATCTGCATGAATGAATTGATTAATTGGTACTTCAGGGATTTAAAAGATTAAATATAGATCTCAAGGGTAACCTATGTTTCATCAAGCTCTAATGACTGCATCCAAAAAAAAGGGGGAGGGGGGGGGCTTCGTCAAAAATTGCCTATACATCTGCATTTCAATGAACTGAAAAGTTTTAAGAACTCTGATATATTATGTAAATAATTTTTTTTAAAGCAAAAGATATTTTCTAGCTTGGAATTTTTCATGTGTATTTGTAGATCTAACTATGTTTTCCTCACACGTTTGAAAGACGTTTGAGAAACGTGACTTTAGGAGAAAGGGGGGGTGGGGTGATTTTTCGGTATAAATTCAAAATGGCTCGTTTGAAAAAATTACAAAAAATTATCAAGATTACTTTTGTAACCAGTTACATGAAAAAAAGTATTTTTTCTAAAATTAAACGATAGGTTTTTTCGTGAAAAAAATATTAAAATTGAAAAATAAGCATTTTTCAAGGCTTAAATGAACCATAGTTTTTCAGTTTAAGTTCTTAAAAAAATATTTTGGCGATGTGTACCTCTACAAAAATACTTTATTTGTGTGGTTAATGCTTAAATGAATGAGTCGATGAAATTTGACAGCCAGACTAGCTGGACTTTTTTGAAAATTGAGGGTTTAATAGCTAGCTGATTGAAAATTTATTCTCCGCGTGAACAACCAAAGGGGGGTAACTTTTGGAACTTCCTGTCCAAATACGACTCAAACGATTTTGTCCAAAATGTGCATTCGCATTGTATATATAGTCATGTATAAAGTATACAAAAATAGCGAAAACTAAACGACAGGAATATTTTTGGTGGTTGGTTTGTTGTACGTCCTTAAAGGCCAAATAAAGTTAACCATGAAATATTCAAATATTCTCAAAAATGAAAACAGTATTTCAATACAAATCTGTAAGATCAACTTCAGTTGATGCTTCGTAGGAATACTTGTCCGCCATTTGAAAAGAAAAAAATAGAGGCCTTAAAGGCCAAATAAAGTTAAGCATGAAATATTCAGATATTCTCAAAAATGAAAACAGTATTTCAATACAAATCTGTAAGATCAACTTCAGTTGATGCTTCGTAGGAATACTTGTCCGCCATTTGAAAAGAACAAATAGAGGAGAGCCCTTTTATAGTGTTAAAAGATAAACCAGTTTGTTTAAAAAATATTTTTTTAAAAAAAAATTTACGACTATGGATTTTAAAATTTTTTATTGATTGTTGTCGATGTGCTGCCTTCAGCGATGATTGTTCGATAGTCGGCGACTGCAGGAATTAACTTTTGCAGCCATTGCATAAATTTATGGCTGCTAATGGTACATGTAACTTGCTCAAAGAAACGTGATCAACATCTTTGATTCTTCTTTGCAAACAAGTTTGTACCTGTACTTTCACCCCAAAACACAGTATAAAGAGCCAAGTAAAAATGATTTTATTAAAATTAATTAATTATAAATCGTTGATTAATTTAAGGCTTTCTACCCGTTGATTGCTTTTGAAAATTTCCTAATTATGTAACACTATTCTTTGCAGAAATATATGAATGTTGATCAAGCCTATAAGATGAGATAAAGCTGAGAAATCAGGCATGTGACTTCTGTTACTTAAAAAAAAAATTAAACTTGAGGCAAAGAAAAGAATCTGATAGGAAAGTAGTGGATGGAGGTAATAAATTTAATACAGGCACAGATCCAGGAATTTTTTCCAAAGGGGGGGGGGGGGGTCACCTCAGTCAAAAATTTTCTTACCCAGAAATTTTAACTTCTTTCACAAATGTATCAAACCAAGAAAAATACTTGACAAGCAAAAAAAAAAACAAAAAAACCCCTAATTTCCAGTCCCAAACATGAAAAAAAAAACCTATTTGGTAGTGGTGGTGTGAACGTTTTTTTTTTTTTGGGGGGGGGGGGGGGGGCAATGATTTTTTGTTTGACTCAGTATATATTTAATAACTCTTCAAATTCCAGGGAGGGGGGGGGGGGTCTGGAAATTAATGGATTATTTGAATCATTTATTACCAAAATAGGTTCAAAAACATATATACAAATCCACGCAGACATCCATTTTTTGTTTGTATCATCTCTCCTTTAGACATATTTTGTGCAAGTGCAATGAAGATTAAACTTGTATTATGTGAACTGCCCTAGATTTTCTGCATCAAAATTACAAAATCTTCTGTATAAAAG